TTGACGAGGATTTGTTCTATGCAACATAGCATTAATATTGGCTCTAAAACAAATCACATAAAATCAGAATAAGAAATAGCCATTGTCAAAAAGATACAGCTTGAACCTTAGAGGTCATGGTTCACCATTGTTGTCGGTTGATTTTGACCTTGAATATATGTTAACAGTCTTCAGAAGTACCAGTACTAAAACTTTACGAAATTCACATAATTCATAAAAAAAATTTACTAAAATTTAGAAATAGGTTAAATTCACATTGCAGGGTCATCATATTTGTATGTAAGCATGTGCCATTTTTACTTACACAGTATCTTCAGGCAGAAATTGTTCTATATCACTAGAATGTGGATGTTTACCACTTAAGTACAACTCCATTTCAGTTTTTGCAATAATCAAATCACAAACAAGATTAAGTGTATGATTATGGTCAGGTTGTAAGTGGTCAGGAAAATAAACACCATCTTCTACTGTCAGTGTATATCCCATCATCTTCATGATTTCAGAACTACCCTACAACCAAAAAAAAAAAATGAAAAGAAATCAGAACTCAGAACAAGGCTGCAGAACCACCATCAATCAAAATAACATAACATATACGTGCCTAAAGTGAGTTTGATTCTGTCATCATCAAATTTGGTATGATTTAATAAAATTCATAAAAAATAGTGAACCACAGCCATATACGCCAACCGCGGCATGCGGATGGCAAATATTCAAGATTTTGGGGCAAGGGAAATAACTCTGCTTCTAACGGTTGAAAATAGCTCAAATTCGAACTTGATCTTCGTTTCATACCGAATTTCACTTGATTCCATCAAAAAATCTAGTTTTTAGAGCGTTTACAAGCAAATGTTGACGGACGGACAGACCGACGGACAGACGTACAGGGGTGCCGACAATATACATCCACATAGAGAGATAAAATAAAAATGGAGGTATTGCACCTAGCATTGTGTATCCTTGTATCGCAATGAATTGGTTCATCCATATATTTGGATAGCACTACAGCCACGTAATGTTTACCTTTTACTGCGTCATAATTATTTACAATACAGAGTACAATTTAAATTCAAAAATTTGGTTTGCAATTTATCACACCAAATAGGAGTTAAACGTTGATGCGCATTTTATAAAAATTTGGTAGCAACTTCAAATGTACGTGTTTCAATGAAGTGGAAGACTTCAGATCGATCTTGCTAATGACGTTAGTTAAAGACATCGCTTTGAGTTGCTGTATATTTCTGGCAGAAACTCTCAGGAAAAATAGAAATATGATTTGATTTGCAGATCTTCATGTCACTTTGGTTAGTCGCAAACACAGTTATTTTGACATACAAAATGTGAAGCCATACTTAAATTGAACCCTGTTTCAATACTAAAAAAATCATTTGACAGAACAATGTGCCAATTAAACTAGTATGAAGTAGTGCAGTGGGCAAAGTGGTTATATATCATTACAGTCTGGGTGTTCAGCCTACATTAATATTTACCTTAAGAGGATTCACTCTTTCTCTAAAAATTGGATTTGAAAATTTCACAGATCTCCACATTTCAGCTCTGGCATTCACAGGTTTTAATAAATGGCGGCCATATTTTTCCAATATACCCAAAGCTAAAGGTATCTTTTTCAATTCATCCACTGTCTGAATGATACAATAACATATCATAACCATATCATTATTGCCTTACGCTTTGTAAATATTCATTTTATATTCTATATAATAGAAAGTATAGGTTCTTATGGCTGGTATTTTTCTCACATGTCCATAATTAATTCATAATTAGATAAATTAGAAGAGAATTTCTAGCAGAATTCCAATGAATGACCGATCAAGAAAGGTTAAAAATTCTTTTTTTGTATATCAGGACTGTACATACATGGACATTTATGGTTGGTTAAAACCCTTAATCACATACAATATAGGAAAATAATGGTATGATTAAGAATACATGATAATTCATTAGAAACACCAATTAATCAAATAGTTTGCTTAATTTGATACTAAAAAATAAGGAAACCCATCTTTAAAGAAGTCTGCTTTTTCCATAATATTGTCTTGTGTTTGTTACAAGTAAATGATGTCACATAGTTTCCAACACTCTAACCAACTGTGCTACAGAAGCCCTCAACTTACCTTGTTATTTAATGAAAATAGCTGTTTGACATCGAGACAGGAATATTTCATACATATAGGTGCTTGTAACCTTATCAGACAAATGATCACAAGACTGGTATCTTCATTGTGATGTACCAATGTTGTCAACTCTTTCCGGTAAAACAATAGTTTCTCATCCATTTCTGTTAAAAATTCATTGTCTTCAATTGCAGATAAAGATTCTGCTTGTCCCATTCTCTCCTATTAGACTTGTTTCTAATCTCTCCTATTAGACTTGTTTCTAACGAAAAAAAAAATTAGCCTACACTTCAACTGGCTGTTTCAACCAAGAAACTCTGATCCTATCTAATAGGTGCACTGACAGATGATTTTAATGACCCTTTATCCCAGAGAATGTTAGGACAGATAAAAATGTGTCATTTTTTGTCGAAGATAGACACTCCTTTATTTTTACAGCTAAGTCACCAAATTCTATCACTTCAAACCAGCCTTGCCTCTCCATGAACAATCTGGAGCATATACCTGCATGTTTAAAAGTTTAATTTCCATTTACTATTGACCCCCACCTTAGAAACTACTCTTGTCTAGCCATCAAATTCATCTGTCAAGAGTCTGTGGATAGTGTCGGAGTATTTCAGAAGATATCCTAACCTTTGACTGGGTTTCACCGATTGCCTGTTAATGTATGGTACTAAAGTCAATAGATTTTGGTATGTTTTTACCCTTACCAGTTATGAACTCACTGCTTTGATGTGTAAGCGTCAGAAAGCTTCGGACTACACTTGTATATTCATTACTAGTCTAGCGACGTATCAACCTACCATCTGACTAAAATATAATAATTCTACTGCCACAGACACAATAAATATAATAGGAATCATAGTACAATTACCAAGAAGTTGACATACCTAATAGAAAATACTTCCTCGTAAGATTAGTAAGACTGACACCACGACGACGTAGTAGGTGTTATTATTCGGTCTACTTTTACTTTCAGTTCCTGTAGAGCCGAATCGAACTGTCAAATCGACCTCGTTGGGTCTTTTCACAGCCGAAGACCACCAGTGACTGCCAAATATCACAACCAAATGGTCTCAATTAAAGTATACTATGTCAAAATCGACCTAGCACCTCAATCCCCCCCCCCCCCCCCCCCTTATTTTTGCGAGAAATCCCTAACCGTATTTGTTATTGTAATAGAGAAATTGATGTAAATGGAGCAATTTAAATAGATTGTACAGAAGTGAATAAAGAGCCAATCAGAGGCCTTGACAGAAAGTATGTGTATACACAGTCATAGTTTTTACAGCCTTTCTGTCTAGGGCTATGATTGGCTGAATTCGCTGGCGTACAATCCAATCCAATCGCTGCATTTCGAGATACAAGGAAATATTGTGATGATAACAAGTTTTCTGATAAACCCCAAGAGGTCACAGAATGTATATTCATACAAATTGTATATTGAAATGTTGTAAACCTCTTTTTTTTAACTGTGTAAACTTGTGCATTTTGTGTATACAATTTAGTTATACAGAAATGTCTCTAAGGAATCCCAAGGAAAGCTTCACTACAATCACTAGCAATATTAACAAATCAATCTTAAAATTTGTGTGTGTTCAGAATCATCCACGTTTGAAAGTTAAAAAAAGACAACTAGTCTTTTCTTGAGACTCTGCCTTATATTGAAATACAAAGTCCTTAGTATGAGGTATTGATGAAGGAATTAAGGGATTTTCGTATATGTATTTTCAGTACTTCTGAATATTATTAACATATATTCAAGATCCAAATCAATCCCCAAAAATCGTAAATCTGCCCCTTTGCCCCCTGTACCTCTACTGTTAGGCTTGGGTACATGCATTAAGTACAAAAGCTTTCATTGAAATTGTACAAAATAATGCTATTTCACCTATGCATACAAGTCTCATCAAAATTGGAAAAAAACTCTTTATCTCTTCCATGAACCAATTTTGACGCATTTCCTCTGTCAAGGGCAATAACTTAGAAAACGTTATTCCAAATCCTACCAAATCAAAACTTGTGCAAGATATTATCAATAAATATTATATATGCATACTAAGTTTCATCAAAATCGGGTCAAAACTACAGTCTCTATTGTGTTCGCAATACATATTGGGCATGCACAATAAAAAAAAATGTGGGCGGGCTGACGAGCTGACGGAAATGTAGGTCCAGGAAATGTGGACATATAAAAAGACATAAAATAGATAGACACTATTTATTATTAACTTAAGAATTGATCACATGATCGAATTATTTCTTTACTTTTCCCACTTGTTTGTATCATAGTTGTAACCACTGTGGTATTCTATATTATCATTGCCCAGCAGAAGTTTTCTTCTTTGTACCTCCATTTCCCAATCCTTAGTATAGGTAATTGGCATGTATGGCAAGCCTGAAAAACAATAGCCAAGTGATATCAATGGCAGTATAGCATAAAAAGAAATCATTTTTCCTTTGAAGCATATTAAATTTTTTTAAAGATGCATCTTCATGTAAGACATTGAAAAGCTACTTTTGGTTTACTTTATGTCGGAACATTACAGGTCTGAAGATGGGCAACACAATGCAAGTTGCAGGGTACAATTAGGCAATAGCCTTCTCTTTTTTCGATTTCCAACTGTCAGCACAGGGCAGCGGTTTATTGTCCCATTGAAATGACTAGACGCTTCTACCATGTCAGCCCCTTTTACCTGCATCACTGACAGACGGAACTGGGTTAAAAAACCTATGTTGGGATTGAACCATTGACCTTCAGGTTAGTAAGCAACCATCGAACTCACTGAGCCAACGCGGCTTCTTTCAGACAAAAAGACATATTTCTAAATATATCTTACCATAATCATTCATATATAATGAAATTAACAGGGACATAGACATCATCACCAGAAATGATGTAAGGTAATCTTTCCAATAGCCTGTAGGAGCTCTCATTTCAGCAAAATTATTGCAGAAACTTGCTCTATACACTGAAAGAAAATTTGATCAGCGATTTTATACATAATTGGTAATGTCCATTTTCTTAACCTATTTAAAACACCGGCTTCAGCATAACTTGTGTTTCTCTTCACATTGTAAAGTTATTCTTTGTTCTTTCAATTCAACTGATTATAAAAAGGTTTCTCTAACTTTTGTATGTGTATCAGTGACACTGATAGCATCAATTTGCACCATTCCAAATTTCAGTTCTGTGGTTCCTTGCAATTTCTCTAAAACTTTAGCATTTTATGACGCCACTTATCGCAAAATATGCCTGTATCACATAAGCTCCTTTGCAAAAAATGACGTCATCAAACACTTACTTTTAGTGGAATTGCATAAATATTGGCACTATTTTCATGTAAAGTTTTACAACCAGCAGTGGCTATAACGTTATCAACGTATGATAAACTTACAGGCTTTCTTGTCCTCAACACTCAAAGTTGACCAATCGTCTCGTTCTTTAGCTCTCAGAGCCAAGACATCTTGTGTATTCTCTCCAAACCTAATGCTTGGGTATGGGAATTCCATTGAATCATTATAAAATAATCTGCCATTCATACCATAACCTACAGCATCACGATTTCCTACAAAAACAAGAAGAACACTGAGTGTAACCATTCTTTGACAACATACAGCTATTTAAACAGAGCCTGAAACATGTTGTTACATAAAGTGTTTCTTGCTGAGCAATCATGGGGAAACACTTACCAACTTGAGGATGAAACTTATAAATACGCAACACTTACCGACTTGAGGATGAAACTTATAAGTACGCAACACTTACCAACTTGAGGATGAAACTTATAAATATAAGCAACACTTACCAACATGAGGATGAAAGTTATAAATATACGCAACACTTACCAAAATGAGGATGAAATTTATAAATATAAGCAACACTAACCAACATGAGGATGAAACTTATAAAAACATACAACTCTTACCAATATGAGGACGAAACTTATAAAAAACATGCAACACTTACCATGAGGATGAAACTTATAAATATATGTAACACTTACCAACATGAGGATGAAACTTATCCATAGTTTCTTTTGAAACCAGACCATTGGAATGAATAGGATGGTTATCTTCAAGAAACGATGCTGATTTTGTGTCCAGCTCTCCAGTTCTTGTTGAGTATGCCCTTTTAATAATATTTCTTAGAAAAGGTCTTGATGTGGAAAGGTAACTCATTTTGAAGGGTCTAATATAAAAAAAAAAACCTGTATAAGTGATAGCACAATATATTGGTGATACAGCCCTGTCATTAGGTAGGGGTCTGTGGGGGCTGGGCCCCAGCAAATGAGAATTAAGCCCCAGCAAAACCTTCTTCATTTCAGAAGAGATTGAGTTATGGTGTCTTAGTACAAAATCCAAATGATACATGTTTGGATACGTTTTGAGCACCTCCTAAATTATCAAAAATGAGTACAAAATCTGAGCCCCTGCACCAATTCATTCTTGGTGACGGAGCCTGATACCCCTCCCCATGATGTTATTTTTACCAATCAGAAAATCACAGTGTATCATGTATAACCTGTTCTTAAAACAATAATGATTTGTAGGACAAAGGCTGTCATAAGATTCTTCTTTAGATTTCGCTACACGACAATATCATCACGTTTTCAAGAAGTAGGTTTTACATGACATGATTTGATTGGTTAATGTTATGATTTAGGAACAGGATTTTGGTTAGATGACAATAGAAAAATATCAAAAAAATAAAAAGAAACACAATTGTAGACTAATTTTTATTAGATTGATATAATAGGTAGACTCTACTTCCTGTTTCAGTGTACTCAAATTCTGAAAGTTTCTATTAAATTTATATAATACATACAAGTGATTTTTGTACTACATCGTACAAACAAACGCAACTACAAATGTTTTCAAATGGGTGTCATTAGCAAAATATTTTCCTGTCAATAGAATTCTAATGCTCAACGAACGAATTTGCATTTCAAATTTACCTTCCCTGACAGACAAAAATTGTAAAATGACCCACTTTCGGGTGCTGAAAAATGTAAAATTATATGAAATACCCTTTCAGAATAATTTTCAGGCAGAAAAATTTCATAAACTGTGGGCACTCTATGTTATTGAGTTGAAAATTTGAGACTCGTAGTACCAGTAACAAATTTTAACAAAATGCGATTCTGAAACCACAGACACAATGATCAATCAATCAGACAATATAATTTGCAATTCATATGTCTATGTAGTTCCAAACAAACAGCATCGGTCGTCTGGCCTCTGACACAGTTAATTTTGATATCTTTCTTCTAAAAGTCTCATGTTTTATCAATATTTGATCGACATACCCTTCAGAGAGTAACTCTCGACCTTCAGTTTGTCTCTCGGTCTTGGCCTATTGAAAGGAAAATGGACGAACGAAAAACACTTTTAACTGAAACGAAATGTACCAAAAATTTAAAATAGACACAAGTAAACCAAAAAAATCAAAACCTACTAAATGCAGTTATTTCTTGTTATTTATTTCTAATTTCGATAGCATGATCAATTTTCTGAAGTCAATCCATGTCTTTGGGAAACGATATGTTTCTTATCTGAAAAACAAAATGTAAAAATTGTACGTATTCCTTATATAACACTATAATGAAATATTATTATACGGTAGCTCGCTTAGGACATTATATTCTAAATTTGTCTTTGCCGATTGTCCATGTCCATTACAAATATCTATTGCTTCCAAAAAATACTAAATCTGCTGTAAAGTGGTAAGATCCTGCACATCTGAAAAACAAAAAATCAAAACTGTACGTCGGCTACTCCTATACTATAATGATATATTATTATACGGTGGCTCGTTTAGGACATATTTGATATTCTAAATTACGATTTGGCCAAATGTTTACATCCACGTTTTGTTTTAACTTTAGCTACAGGAGAGCATGGTGACAAAGATTTTTTTTTATTATTCTAAAGATATTAAGTAATGACCACATAATTTTCATCGTAATTGTTTTACTTATCTATACCAGCACATCATTGTTCGGGATACGTTTTGTTTAAACACGGAAACATTGGTTACCACTCAGCAGACCCTTAGATACAGCCTGACAACTGACCAGTTCCATAACTGCAACCATACACCATTCCCTCTCTGGATATCTTACTTCTCCCTCCGAATAATCAAGCCTGGCTACGGTGGCATACTTAATAGAAGTTTAATCATCGTATACGCGAAACAGTTCATTTTACTGATGAACTATAACGTCGAAATTGGCTTAAACAGTCGAGCACATAACCTGGTCGGTCATCGACGGTTGTACTAAAAAAATAATTTTCAGAACTATTTTCCGGTCTTACGAAGTTGCAGGTCTGTTGTTAACAACATATCGACTTAACAGTTCGATTAAGAACTTAGCAAGGTCTGCCTCGGTGGGATAACGGTGAATTGGGCATGTCTCAAGATTACAAAAGCGAAGTTTTTTGGACCCCATTAATATGTTCCTAGTCTAGCATAGTTAGGCTAAACGCCTCTCGGGGATAGCTCCTATGTCTGAAATCCATCCAACCTTCTATGCAATATTCTGAAATTTAGGTACTATATATGAGGTTAAAGTCCTAAAAACCGCAGCCAGATGTAGGCTCTGCCGAAACCCAAATCAGCAATGTGAATAAATAACTATATAGATAGTGAATCATTGCTGTCCACTGCTTAGTGTTTGTGGAAAGGGTAACCCTACACACTTGTTTGCTCAGTGCAAATGCGTATACAAATGTTTAATATAAAATTTACTTTACTGACAAAAGACTTGTTTAATTCAAAATCATTTCTACATTGTCAATGGTAGTTTTTACTTTTCCCACTTGTTTGTATCATAGTTGTAACCACTGTGGTATTCTATATTATCATTGCCCAGCAGAAGTTTTCTTCTTTGTACCTCCATTTCCCATTCCTTGTTAAATGTTTTTGGCATGTATGGCAAGCCTGAAAAATAACAGAGAGAATTAGCGTACATCAAGATTTTTATTCTTTTGGCAATCTTTTAAGTGATTAGCTAATGAAATCATACACAATTGCTACCCCTTCGTAATCCGATCGTATCAGCCTCTGTACACTGGTATACCATCCTCTTGGAAATCCTTTTTATAGGCTATGACCTGGTGCCCCTCGTCCACAAGAAGAATCAAATGCTCCACAAACGGATACAAAGTTTAAGACATCGCTCTAACATTTGGCAGCGTAATTAATTGCTTTTCACATAAACTACATTAAAAAATTCCGTCAGATGCCCACTAAGGTGCCACAATTGTTAGCAATATACTCCATGGTTGGGAACTAGGGCTCAAGTATATAAATATATTTTAGTCAGAAAATAAGACAAGAATAATTGCCGTATCTCCACGCAGTGCTAAATCGTAAAGAGGAATCATTTTCATTTAAAATGAAGTCACGTGAACGTTTTATGTGACAAACGTGCCATCGAACTATTCCAAAATCTCACCAAACAACCTAAGCATAGCAAATCGTATCCAAATTTGGCTGTTCACACAATATTATTCCCCGAGAAAGTTGTGACGAATGGTGACGTGGTTTATACAATGATTTGATTTGATATGATATATGATAGGATAATTCAAAGTTGACTTACCATATTCATTCATATATAATGAAATGGACAGGGTTATAGACATCAGAATCAAAAATGATGTAAGATAATCTTTCCAATGTCCTGTTGGAGCTCTCAATTCAGCAAAATTATTGCAGAAACTTGCTCTATACACTGAAAGAGGGTAAGCTTGTCAAAACATATTATATAATACCTACATGCACATGAACTTTTGCTTAAAAATTAAATAAAATAAAATTGGGTCTTATTGCATGCCAAACTACGAGATGCTTTTTCCATTTTAGTCCCTAAAACTGCATTAAAATGGGGAAAACGGGTTGAAATATCCGCAGATATCCCAATCTATGCCGGGATCAAACCTGAACCTTCAGGTTAGCGAGTCATCCTCTTTTTATGATCAAGTTAGTTTTCCGGGCAAAGTAACATGCCCACTGCCCACTGTGTAACCTATTGGCCACTAAAATTAATTTGAGAACAAAAACACTTGTTGTAAACAAAGGCAAATTCGACCACCAGTTGGTATTTTATTTACAAAACGAATTGGGTTATGCCGAATTAGCAGCCGATTATGCGGTGCTAAGTATTAAGTTCGATATAGACTATACCCTTAATAATCAATGTGATTATCTGGATTAGTGTGAAAAAAAAGTTGGAAGCGGGAATTAACCAGTAAAATTGGCAAACTTACAAGCTTTCTTTTGCTCTATACTTAAAGTGGACCAACATTGTTTCTCTTCCTCTCTTAGAGCCATTACATCTGGCGTATTTTCAGCAAATCTCAGACTTGGATATGGGAACTCCGTGCTATCTAGATAATTCAATCTTCCATTTATACCATATCCTACTACATCACGATTACCTTAAAGGAATATTTGAAGAAATTGAAAGGGGTAGGCCCCCTATTGTTGTCCAAATATTTGCATGATCAGCTGATAGAGCTTAAATTCTTACATCATACATGTACCGGTAATTAATATTTATCTCAGGGATATTGCAGTATGAAAACTCAAATTTTGTATGTTCTATTAAGATAGACTGCCAACCTAGCAGTCTTTCTGTCGAAGCCTTTTATTGGCTGTATTCGTTAGATTAAATTCACAAATCACATACTTCTGTAATGCAAGGAAAGTCTCGGGACATTGTTAAGACTTGTCCAAACTACTCACCAACATGAGAATGAAACTTATCTAGAGTTTCTTTTGAAAGCAAGCCATTCGAATAAGTTGGAGAGTTCTCGGGAATAAAATCTGGTGCTTTGATTGTTATTCCTTCATGTTTTGTAGAATATCTTTGCTTTCTAATAAAGCTTCTTAAACTTGATCTTGATATGGAAAGGTAGTTCATTTTCTAACCTTAGAAAAAGCAAATAGTAAAATTATAGGGACAGGTAGGCCATTTTGTGTTCACAGTACCGTCGAAATTTGATCCTTCAAATCCATGTTTGTCCAGAATTATCTGCGTTTGAATGTTAAAATGACGACTCGTCAATTTAATGACAGGACTATGCCTTTTTAGATATTTAGTTAGAACCTTTGCCTTTGGCTTTGCTGGTTTTGGGAGCTACAAATTGACAGTACGCTTAATTCCTGAAACTTCAGTAGATCTATCCTATTATCGAAGGAAAATCTGTCGACTGCTTCTTCCTTGCCTATTGTGGGTAGGGCAGTCTGTACTTCTTACAGTCTAGCTAGGACTCGATGCGTGACAAAAACAGCAGCTAGGCTATCGATCGGTGCTATAACGCTGGCAGTAGGAAAGTAGGATCACCGGAAATTGTAGGCTACTACCAGTTGGTGCAAGGCAAATTATTTGAAACGAAATGGCCTACACTCTGATAAAATTTGTTTGCACCTTTGTCAATGTAATCCAAGAGTGAATGTATAAATTGATTGCTTACCTATCGTCAACCCTACTTAACGTCGATCTATGAAATGTGAAGCAGTAGCCGCAGGATTTCTACTGAAATGTTTACACTCCACCGAAAGCGCGCTGCCTAACTGTCCAATCAGGAGTAACTATACTTTAGCCCGACTTAGTCTATCACTTGGAAGTCTTGAGATTTTGAACCCAATTTATAATCATCATTATACAAGTCTATGCTTGAACCTTATCACTGGTTCAGTTAATCCATAGAGAATTATAACATAATAATCTTAAGCCTATAGCCTACTCTATTTTGGTCAAATCCTATCATTAAACGACACTGTACTAATCCCCAAATAATCCACATATTAGGCCTACCTACAGCATGTTCAGTAGGTTAGTCGAAGACTGTAACTTAAAATTAGGGGTCGAAACTCTATCCTTTTTCATTTCCATTAATGCACCGCCATTGCGTCTAAAGTTTTAACAGTGTCTGTGCACACTTAAAATCTTCGGACAGTTGGAAATCGAAAAAGAGTAGGCTAATTCAGCTGTTCTGGCAAATGTCCCTCGTTGCACACTGCATTGCGTTGTCTGTCTTTATTAGCCCAGAAGAGCTAAAACGTAAAACTATCCATTTCAATTCAACAGAAAAGTGTATTTACAAGAGTTAACCCCCTTTTCTTTTATGATAAGATAGTTTTGTTGTGGTCTAGAAGGTTACGGTTAGAGTTAACTCCCTTCAACTGCATTCATCAAATTCATTAGCATGTACGATAATTAATATTCTACGTTATGATATCTAAGACAAGACTCGTATATAGATGTACATTACTTTCAGTGGCGTTTCAATTTTTTATCATTTTACATAGTGATGGAATGTCTGTGGACCCCATGTAAAATTTTGTAGACCTAGCTCGTCCCCCTCACCTGACAGGCCTACTGATCTTCCCCGAGCAAATGGCTATGGTAACAAAAATTCTAACGGTCTGATAAACACAATGACGTCATTGGGTGAAATTCAATAAACCTACGAATAAAACCATTCAAACATTGTTTTCGTTAAGAATACGAAAGTGTAACAACTTTAGATTTTTTAACATAATTATGCTTAGGGCCTATTACTCAAAGCATAATTATTGCAGATGATAGCAAGATGAGTTTCAACAAGTTTCAGGTTATGTTTAACTATTTCTTTATTTCAATTTCATATCTTATACAAATTGTTTTCGATGGGTGTTCAACTCTCTTCATTGATAGAGTATTTATACAAATTGTGTTCGATGGGTGTTCAACTCTCTTCATTGATAGACTATTTATACAAATTGTGTTCGATGGGTGTTCAACTCTCTTCATTGACAGACTATTTATACAAATTGTGTTCGATGGGTGTTCAACTCTCTTCATTGATAGACTATTTAAACAAATTGTGTTCGATGGGTGTTCAACTCTCTTCTTTGATAGAATATGCACGCGCGTGCGTCCATTCACAATTACCAATCGACATAACTCACAAAGGGTGTACTAAGATACCGGTTCAGAATGACGGTGTGCTTTGTCACAGGTTACAGAAGGGTGCTTTGTAGATGTTTTAAAATGTAGTTCATGGAGGTCTAAAGTCTCTGGGATTTTGGGGCAGGGAGGAGTACTCGGGGCGGGGTTATTGTACCCCCAATTGGACCTTCACTACATTTCGTACAAATTAGAAATAGATTCTATACTTTTAAAAAAAGGAAAAACCCTTTTAAGCACACCATAGGTCTGTACTTTTCCAAAAAGCTGCCACCTTTTAAATCTCTATCTCCACGGTTGTGCTCCTTTAAGTCAGTCTGTACCTGATTTTTTAGGGGAGCGGTCTGAAAATAGGTCAGTTGTCTGGAGATTGCACAGCGTGAAACCGAGTATCAAAAACATGATTCAGGTTAATTCTGTTTTAACATTTCTATACCGCTCTACTTATTGATTGAGCACTATATTTTAACAGTTAAAATATTTTATTTTTTGTAGTCCGAGATATAAGAAATGTCTAGTCGCAAAAGCCTATAGATAAGTTATATTTTTAGAAAACGATCTTAATCTACATTTTGTGATATTCCTGTTTTGATTCATTGATTAGGCCTACATCTTTTGTTTTAAATCTTTTTATTTTAGCCAGTTTAATTTTGCCTTAGTCCTCTAAAGATTCTGATTGACCCAGGGGTGTCGTCGTACGTAGCCTACTGAAAAGATTTTCGGGATAGCATGCCATGCAATTGTAGCCTACAGCCTATGAAAATGAGTCAATTTCTTTTAGCAGGCACCTGCTTTGTCATTTAAGCTATTTTCATGAATGATCACGTCATTGATTTTGTTGGCTTGTGGACTATTTTAGATATAGGCTAGTGTTGTTAGCTTTAGGTGCGCTGACCTGAAATTTGGGTCGCGTGACCAAAATAATGCTAATCGCTTATCTTATATACGTTCAAATATAGAAACGGGGCCTACGTAAGGTTATCACGTGACCTGTTGTTAAATTTGGATACATATTATTGTGCGTATTTTACGTCTGGATGAGGGTGCCATTTTTAGTGATATTGGTGGGATTTATATATATGCAAAGATAGGGGAACCAAGACTAGCCTACTGACTAATTTCTTCTTATGACGTTGTGACATACCGGCGTTATGTCGTCAGGATAGATAATTATGTAATATACGCATGTTTGTAGCTCTCCATGGTCGTAACGTCGATTTTGCGACTGTAAGTGGTATAAGAGTATTCTTAACTCGACGTAAGGCTTCAAATTGAAAGGATATCTGCGCATGCGTTAAGCCCAAAAACCAACTTCTGTTATTGGCCATGTCGTAAGCATAAATTATGACGTATTTCATGGTCACGTGATCGAAAGTCGCCATGTTGGATGTCGATACCGATATTTGACCAAAGCATAATTTGCCCAATCTCCAAGAATTGTTACGTAGACGGAAAATAATTCCTGAAAAGGGGAAATTAGGAAAATAATTGTACTGACATAAGGTTAGTGTCTTAGACTAGGTTATTGGTCTTTGTTTATTAATAGATTAATGTTTTCAGTGATAATCAACTCGCTGTGTAGAGTACTGTGTAGACTGTTGTTAGACGTGCTGTACTGTGGGCCTACAGATACTGTATGTGTATACTGTCGCTGTGTCGGACTGTCGGGCATTGAAATTTAAGGAAAGTTTCAGAAAATGAAAATAATTTTAGCAGGCATGTAGTGCCATATTTTAGCCAACAACATCTCATTTTTCTTTTGTGGTGTTTCTGTTGTTGACACTGGTTGTTTCTTTCAATTCAAATACTTTTCCCTCCAGAAATTTAATGTGAAAATGACACACATATTTGTTGACTGTTAATGCAAATTCTCATATTAAGAATTTGTGCATCTTAGACTAATATAATTACGTTGAAAGACGCTAAGCCTAGTTTTAAAATGTTAAAGAGACCAAACATTGGATGATATATTATCACGGTATATTCCAAAAATTTCGTTCGAACTATTAGTAAAGCTGACTGCCTTCTCAACTCTGCTTAGACGGATTCATTGGCTTATAACAGAAGGGCTAAAACTATCCTTAAAAACTTATATACCGGTACCATGTCCCTTAGATTGTAACAGTCTGCAAAGTTAGAAAATGTATAAACTGACATGATGCAACATAGATTATTAGAATGATCATTACTTGATTGGTTATCCCTTTGTATTTAATCTTAATCTGTTTAATGTTTAATTTCAATCATCTAATCCCATTCACGATTAATGGGTACAGTAACGAGTAACATCAAAGTGATAATTAATAATTTTTTGATGCCATTGAAAGTGCTACTATTCTTAACCTTTATAGAAAAAAGAGGTGATCTGAGGTATTTTGAAACTTGTTCTGAGTCTTATGAAAAAAAGGGTTTGAGTTGTCTTCAACAATTTACATATATAATTTCAACTGAAGGTCCAGGATTCAATCCCGGCATAGGTCAAGATAATATCTTCATTTTTCCGTCCCAAATTTGCTATGAGTTATTGCCCTTGACTTAAGAAAAACGGGTCGAAATTTGAACACAATAGAGACTACAATTTTTATCTGCTTTTAATGAAATTTGGTGTGATTATCCATTACAATAATGTCTTTCGATTTTTCGATGTATGGAATTTGAGTTATTGTCCTTGACTAAGTAAAATGGCTCCAAAATTGTTAGTTTGTGAACACGTTATGTCAGAATTTTATGAAATTTAATACTGCCTTGGACATATTAGATTTTTTGTACGATTAGACACAGATTGGCAACTGCCCTTGATATAATGGAAATTTATCAAGGAAGTGGGCATATATTTGCTAGGCAACCACTTGTTTATCTTGTTTTCCTGTCAGTGATACAGGTCATATACAATCATATATGAATGTTAATTGATGCTTGAGGAAACCAGGCATTTAACAAATAAAGCAGATGGTATTCGAATTAATGTTTAAGCTTATGCAAACTTAGTGTTTTATGAAGTCACCATCACAAGCGCTGATAGACTTTTGCCATAGTGATGTCATAAAACGCCTAGTTTTAGTGGAATTCCAAAACCACAGATCTTGTTCTGGGTTTGTTTCTTGAATGTTTGGACCAATTGATATTGTCAAAAAAATTTGCCATGATAGAAGATAGTTGCTCTTTATATTTTAGAAGACTAAGCTTACTTGTGTTAATATTAATAGCTCCTTTTTCCAACTCCAATTCAGAAAACTAGGAATGTAAGAGTATATTTTCAGTAATAGGGGAAGTCAATATCAAATTTGATGTTTAGAACACTATGTTTTAATGAAATATTTATTGTTTTTATTACATTTAGAAATTTTTAGATTGTAAAACAACATTTTTTTATAAAAAAAACAATAAACACCATACTTAAGAAGAAATATCGCGATATATATCCATATCATGATATATTAATGCTCGATAACATGTTGAACAACTTGAACCAATATTGCCCAGCACTATCTTGTATTAAATATCTTAATTTTGTATAATTTCAGGTATGGAAGAAAATTCTACTCAGGTACAGATGGAGATTTCTCCAAAGCAAAGTATTGAAGCAACTGATAGCAGCAATGATTCTGGCAAAGAAAATAACTTACCATGTAAAAATTCACATGACAAAGAAATTTTGAATGGACAAGAACCAAATCAGACTGTAAACTTTCAATCTAAGATTTTAAACCATAACAAAGTGCTGGAAAACAGATCTGCCGATGTTCGAAAGAATGCAGATAAAATGGAAATTGAGGAAAATATAAAACAGGATGGAAGTTCTCCAAGCCACTTAAAGCCTCAATCTACAAATGATAGTGAAACTAGTGATGTAGAAATGCTTGATGATAGTCATGATAAGTCATGTGATATCGCTGCAGCAACAACCGATACCAATGCAGCAACAACTGATACCATTGTGGCAACAAAGGATACCATTGTGGCAACAAAGGATACCATTGTGGCAACAAAGGATACCATTGTGGCAACAAAGGATACCATTGTGGCAACAAAGGATACCAATGCTCCAATAAAAGATGCTAATGTAGCAACAACTGATACTAATTCAACATCAAAAGATGCAATTTCGGTAAAAACTGATACCAATGCTTCAATAGCTGATACCAATGCATCAGCCACTGATACAAATGCAGCAGCAAATGTTTCTCTTAAAAACTCAGGAGATGCAAAATGTGCCACTCCGTGCGAGATAAACAATGATAAGCTTACTAATGAATCACAATGCATGGATATCAGTGAAAAGAACTGTGAAATCACAAGTGTTAATTCTAATGGAACTGACTTTGATGACAAAAGTAATACATGCGATACCAAAGAGGAGGGAAAAGAAAAGACAGAGAATTCTGTAGAAAAAATCTTGGATGAAGATGGCGATGAGTTTATCATTACAATGAATGAAGATGCTGATGAAAGCGATGGTGAAGAAGAAGATGAAAATCATGAAGATGAAGAGAATACAAATGGAAACAAAAAGTCTTCTGATGTGACACCTATAATAACACTGCCTCCACTACCGCCATTACCTCGAACTACAGTCAATAACACAGTTCAGATACCAAAGAAACCATCACAATCACTCATATCTCAGTCTCTTAAAGGTGGTCAAAACTCCTCTCAGAATGCAGCATTGTTATTGTCTATGAACAATTTTTCAAATTCATCACTTCAAACTTTTCAGCAGAAATCCATGGTACAGAATAAATCCTCATACCTTCCACCAGTTTTAACACCACAGTCAAGTACCGAGATGATGAGCCTGATCAAATGGGAGATATCCAATAGAATTTCCAATCAAAGACCGAAGTACCAGCAGAATCAGCCTGACAATGAATTGGGACCATTGTCAAAGTTTTTGTTCGAGTTGGGTAATGACCTCGTAAGAGAGACTGTTTATAATGATTTAGTCAGAATACAAACTTACAGAAAATCCACGGGTAAATTGTCAGAGAAAGAAACTGAAGATTTGTGTAAACTCAAGGATGTTCAAAGCGAATTGAAGTACTTAGTTGGTCCAATCAAGCATAACTTTAAATTGAAATGCAAGTGTGGATTTCGAACTGAATCAAAAAATATTCTTGTAAATCATCAGGAATATCCCCATGTTGATGAGAATGACTTTTCCTGTGCTGTGTGCAATGACTATGAAACGAAACAACCTGCAGCTTTTGTGTTCCATATGGAAGCAATGCACAACATGAGAGGAAGGATAGAAAACAAGCAAGCATTTTGGACTTGCAATCTCTGTCCATATGAAAATAATTCCAAAAGTAAACTGACACAGCATAGATTTAGATGTTTGAAAAATTTCAATTTGAAAACTAATTTATCTCAAAATTCAGTCATTGGTATGGAAGTCAATTTTTGTCTGGAAAATAACTTTTATAAAAGGAAAGATCCCCCAAAGACTCTTCACACAGCCAATAATACCAGGCAGCAATCCATTGCACCCAAACCAAAAGTTCAATCAAGTAGTAACACATTAGTAACGGCTATAAACAAACCAGCTCCAGTTATCAAGGCTGCTGGGAATGATGTTACAAAGAAAATAAACACTTTAATAAGCCAAAATCATTTGGTACTATCTCAAAATAAAGGTCCAGCAAATGAGAGTGGAGGATTTGAAGTGTGTGAAATTTGTGGTGGATATGTGAAGGACAGAAAAGCTTTAAGAATTCACTTTTATTATGCTCATAGGAAGGAAATACCAGACAGAGCACAAGCTCCTCTGTATTGTGCTACCTGTTTTGCTCGTTTTTGGACTGCTCAAGGCCTCCAAAAGCATCTTGAAGTTCACAAGGTTACAAATGCGGCAAAATGTTTGATTTGTGGACACAAAGTTCCAAATGTCTTGATGCACATGAGAATAGTACATACAAAAGAATTAGGAAACTTTCTGGCAACTTGTAAATGTATATACTGTGGTTTAGTATGTAGTAGTAAGCGTGGTGTAGAGAGCCATATGGTTGGTGTCCATGGTATTATGATAAAAACCGAATCAATTGTAACTAACTCCTCAATGGGTATGACTCAAAAGCCGCAGAAGCAACCAGCTCCTCGTGGTTGTATGTGTGTATTGTGTAACTTACAGTTCTCTAGAAATGTTGACCTCACCCGTCATTGTATGAAGGTTCATCATACTTGTATGAAATGTGGAATGGTGGTAGCTGACAAAGTTTCTTTAGACAAACATACATGCTTGAAGTCCATAAAAGGTCTACGAGATTGTGAACTGTGCTCAGAACAAGGATTCCATCCTGCTTATCATGTGAAGCACATACGTGATAAGCATATCCGTAAATGTACTATTCCTTTGATTAAGCTACCTAATTGGGTTAGTAAATCAGTAAAAGACAAAAAACTAATTTCCAAAGTAGAATCTATCTGTAAAGGTAAAAAGACTGATAATTGTATGGAAGTTGATGATACGAAAGAGCAGCGAAGCTCAAAAAAAAGACCTCATGCTGACAATGATAGTGTGCTAAATGACACTGTTATCGACATAACTAGTGATAGTCCAAGTAAAATTCCCTGTTTAGATACTTCTGTCTAAAACTTGTTGTGGACTAACGTTTATCTATTTGTACAGTAATAAAAGTTATATGTTACATATTTGGATTGTGAAAAAGTCGCCAAATGAGACAAAAGTAATAAAACATCACTGTGCAATATTGAGAAAAAATGTCTTGATTATAGCAATCTAAGCTTATGGTGATGAGATAATTTTTGTATCATGACCCTCTCCCTTACCTGTGAAAGCTCTTATTTGAATGGAAAATAAAGTCCCCTGAATGCTCAAAATTTATCTCAACTGTTATACATTGGCTTCTGGAGGCCTTGCCTCGTAGTCTGAGAGACACCTTTCATTATTGCACCCGAATGTGTGCATGCAATTGTGGACGTATTAATTGCTGTCCCTCTGTCAGTTTGTTCACAGTTCATGTAGGCACAGTTGAGGCTGAAGTTTTTATTCCATTTCGATGCAAATTAATTGTGCATGTATATATGGATGAGGCCTCCGTTAAGTTCGAAGGTGGTAACAACCAATTGAAAGGTTTAGTCTTGACTGGTTGTGGATAATTTTTTTTTTTATGAGATATCAACCAAATTTGATTTTGCCAATAGTTATATGATAAACGGTTTAAACCGTTTGTTATAAAATTTATTACCTTGATATGATATGATTCTTCTATGAAATCAAATCACAAAATACACAGCTAAAAGGTGTTAAAGAGGAATTGCAAAAAATGTTCCTGCTGGTGCCTGGGCTAGAAGAATATGGTAAGATAGATTCACAGACACACGTCCCGTGCCTCCCTTCGGCTACCCATTTCACACAGTCATCCCAAATTAACGGGATTGTATCTATTGGCATTATTCCGATTTCTGCAAAATGTCTGTGATTCCTGTCAGTTTGAAATTTCTTTAACTTTACAGTATATGACATCATCGCAAAAAGCTGCTAATAGTTAAAAATAAAAGCTTTTGATAGTGATGTTTAAAACGCCCCTTTTTAATGGAATTGCATGGTCCACAGACGCCTGATGGAAAAATGGAATGGTGCAAATTTCCCTGATACACAAAGACATGTGAGATAACCCCTTTACAATCCCTTTAATTGATGGCTAATCCCTATCCACTGGAACCTCTACTCTTTGGGGAAATGAAGAATATAGTAGGAGTAGGCCTACGCTAAAAAAATAAGTTTTACGATGTGAAAAAATTATATTACAAAGCGAAAGGTTTAAATGAATGAACTTCATGAAATAAAACAGACAACCCCACCCCAAACGGCATGCGATTCAAGTTCCCTGGTAATTTTAGGGCAATTCCCCCCCCCCCCCCCCCTCACTGGTTTCATTAGTTCCTAATTGTTGCCATTCGTGTTTTATTTAAATCATTTTCGTCAGTCTCTGCATCAGTAATTAAAAGCTGATAACTTCTGAATCTAAGGTTATTACGATTTAATAAAAGAAATGGAAGTGGGCTTAAATAATGTAAAGTTAAATATGTCACCTCTGGAAGCATAGGCCAAGGGCAAGGGTAGGCCTATGTGGCAAAATGCACTGGACTTTGGACAATGTACGGCCAACTAGTTTGAATAATTTGTTTATGTTCTGAAGACTGATGATATTGTTCGCTGAAGTCAAAATTGAATGAGTAAATGGCACATTTTATTATATTCATTATGTAAAATTGGGTCTTCGATGATGAAAAGACGCACCCATTAAATTCTTTATCAAATATTTACTTCTGTAAAATATATATTTATGTCTTTTCTGAAGAACTTTTAATACAAAACAAACAATCTGTTTCATTAATTACGCTTTAGATTGAAATTGAGCTTAAACAAAACTAGGTCTGAAGTTTGAACTCTATGACTATAGTATGGAATAAACGTCGTCGGCTGTGAAAAGACTTATCCCGGAAGAGCCTGGCTGCGAATAATGATGTCAACTTCAAGTACGTGTTGTTGTTTACATTTTCTAAGTGAATGACTCATTTAATCAGGTTTTTATTTTGATTATTCGTTTCTACAATAAATGATTAGAACATTGAATGTATAGTATTCATACTGACACTTTCACAGTGCAGATCTACTCTACAAAATAGTCCTATGATAGGCCTATTCGAAAATACCAGCGCTTCGTGACTTCGTGGACGATCTTCTTCCTAAATTTACACTACAAAGATTGTGTGCCCTGTGAACTTTGGTAAATCACATTGTATTTGGTATTTATTGTATTCACAACTCAAAACATAACCTATAATTGAAAACGTTTGAAGCACATACTTCAATATTGACATAGATTTGGTATTAGTAAAATAATGTGATCATTTGTAACGCATGACTTTTGTTTCAGATGATTTCTGTACTGAAACTAGTAAGAAATAAATGGACGGATATGACAGGCCAGTTTCGTAGTAATGTTTGGGATCCAGTTCTTATTATATCTCAAATAATATGTGTGCAGTCAGTCTTCTATGTGTCTCTTGGATTTTGGATGGTTGTCTTGGATTTTATCGGTGCATTTGACTTGTCAGTTGACCAAATGTTTACGATGTCAGTAAGTATTAAAGAAACATAGGTTTGGTCATCTAATAATATGCTTTAATAAACAAGGGTGAAAGCCGATACTGACACTCTCTAAAGCACTGGCAGTGACACAGGCATCAGAAATTTTCTTGCCTTGAGGATTATTCGAACCCATGACATCTAATCACCTAGCAGACGACAATTCAACTCGCTACCTACTGAGCTATTCCAAGTGTCATCAGCCACTCCTATCAATTTTATGAATGGAAACTGGTTCTCTAACAATTAATACATGATTTATTTTACTGGAAATTGTGGTTATGTGGTTATTACCATTGATTGGTATCATCATTTTGAATAGTTTGGTAGGTGACAAGATGGTTGTCTATATAGACATATTGTTATGACTAGTTTTTTATGAAAAATTTAGTATTTATGAATCTCTTTCCCAAATTCTTTTCAGGACTTAGGACTAGGTGAAGATAGCGGTAGAGCTAATGTAATAGCTTTTGGTTTGAACAGTCTGACTTGGTACGTAAAATATTTTTCGGTTTACTTTGTTATCTGCCATTTGTAGTTGTCAGTCCATTGGTTCATATTACTTGTAGACACCAGTGGCGAAGCCAGGATTTCATTTGAGCACCTTGGTTTGGGTCAGTGTGGGCATCCCCTGGATAATTTTCTAATCTAAGTAGGCAGAGAATAAGCTTACACCTAACACGATTATGGCAAAGAAAGCTGTTCCTTTTTTCCAGCCGAGGGCCTCTGATATTTAAGGGACAGTTGTGCCATGTTTTTTGAAAAATCCTTTCTTAGTCTCAGAAACAATTTTTATTCAGCTTATCTTATCAGTAATAGTGTTCACAGCTCACCGTCTAAATTTGAGCCTTCAAATTTATGTGTCAAGAAAAGACAGCTATAGAAATTTTGAAGGAATTATTCGATTTTTGTACTTTTGAAGACTGTTTACGTATTATATTCAAGACTCAATCAACCCCCCAAAGTGGCGCACTTCTCCCTTTAAACTTACATTACTTCCTGTCATTTTTGGGACATGTAATATGTCATTGTGAACTCTATCAGCTCTGTGAACAACTATTTTAGATCAAACAATAATATTTATGTTCATATCATTTTATATTTCAGCTCTGTAGCATTATTATTAATTGTTGGACGAACAAAACAGTGTCTAGATTTTTCATCAACTATTCTTCTCTTTCATTTTATATTCTGTTGGATTTTTAACGGACATATTCCACAAACATTTTGGTGGTGGATAACAAATGTTGCATCATTGATATTTACCACAGTTTTAGCCGAGTATTTATGTATGGTGAATGAACTTAAGGCAATCCCTGTCATGGGTCCAAAAGTAGATTTATAGTACCGGTATGAATTTCTTTTTTGCTTCACCAAAAATTTTCATCCATCTCTCTTTCATTTGTATATTGAACCATATAGCATTTTTAAGCTTTATTGTGATTTAAAAAAGGTTATAGAAATATTAAAACAGAACCTGAATCATGTTGATATTCAGATTTTCGTGCCTTGTAGGTCCGAAAATTGCACAGCATGAAACTCTTGAGTTACAACAAGTTCAGGTTCTGTTTTGAAATTTCAATATAGCTCTACAATAAAATTGATGTATTGAGCACTATTTTAAAATTAAATATATTTTGTTATTATATCAGATTGATATACATTAATCTATAACTGGTTCTTATGATGTCTTTAAATGACACAGCTCTATGGAAAAACAATCACTGGTTAAAGTTTTATGCATAGCTAAGATGTGTTTCTTTAATCATCATAAGGTATGTAGGCCTACCTCATAATGTGCCTGAGGATTATAAGAAACATGTTAAATTGTTGCATAAAGCTTGAACCAGGGATTGTTTCAGTTTCTAAACTAAAGTGTACCTTTTCAATGCACAAAACGTTATCAACTGAGGGTGTTTTAACTTTTTTGCAACTAGTTGAGTGCAATAAAAGATTGGGTAGCATTGCTTTATCATTAGGTGTCATTTCGGAGAATTTTGAATTTTGGTCACCAATTATAATCAAATTAATTAATATTATAATTCCATAGTTGAAAAACAATTTTCTTCTCTTCAAATTAGTGATTTATTTATATACCCGGTATCTATTTAGAAATATTAAAATATAATTTGAAAATTCATCAGTTATCTGAAGATCACATAGTGTGAAACTCTGAGTAACAACATGTTTCAGGTTCTCTTTCAATATTGCTTTTTTGCTCTACAATTGAGCAATATTTAAACAGTGAAAATATTTTATTATTGTATATCTATTTATTCAAAACTTGGTTAAATGTTGATATTAGATTAAACTGGTGTTGCGGCTCTTATTAGCATTTACTTTAGCCACTTCAGTAAGGGTCTAACCATGGGGCTCTTAAACATTCATCCTCTTGAAGACAACGCCAGCCAATCAAATTTCTCCCCATCTTTGTGTGCTGCGAACACAAGGTGTATTCTGAGCAGTATAAAACGGATGGATGTTCAATATGACTGTCATTAGACCCAAACTTAAGTGGCTGTATTAAAAGTAAAAGCTAATAAAAACGGAATGAAACTGGTCTAATTTTGATTACACTGATGTTAGTGTTTATAATTAAATTCATACATCATAGTTGTTAAGAGGAGTTGTAAATAAAGCTTGTGGTCAAAATTATGATAATGGGACTATTTTTTCACAAAATGAAGTTCATAAAATGGACAACTCCCTCTACTGAGTGAAAAGCTGAAATTACTTTTTAAAGGTATACTACCAAATATTGAAATTTTTAAACTGAAAATGAGAATTTGTTGTGTCATAACTATATAACAGAATGCCCCTATAATCGAATAAATCCACAAAACTATAATAATTCATGAAACATGCTTAGAAGTGTGTTTCAATAATTATTTAGATATATTGTCTTATGTAGAGATTCTATTCTTTAGTCATGGCACCTAGTAAGTCCAATTGATGTATATATACACTTGTTGACCAAGTTTGAGACTATTATGTCCATTATAAGAGGTAGTATCCTTTTAACAAAACATATATATAGTTGAACACAAGGAGAATGAATTTAACAACAATTTGTTTTTAGGCAGTTGACACACACTCCCCGATTTAATCACTGGTTTCATTTTCATATAACCTATTAATATTAACATACACATAACATTCTTCCATTATCATACATATACTTTCTTCAATATAGTCTACTTGATCTGGTGGACAATAATCATCTTCGCTAGACCTGAAATATTTAATACTTAGTTTGTTCAGCGAGGTTTTGAACTTACAGGTTGTGACCATTTACCACTCTCACTTTTTTGAAAAGGGAAAAATATAATTCCAGAAGATAAAAATTTACTTTAAAGTTGTGACCATTTACCACTCTCACTTTTTTGGGAAGGTACATATTTAAATCTCATAATCTAGTCTTTATATATCACCCAGATGAAAGCAAAATTTGAATAACTTTAAGCACAAAAGAAACAAGAACTCAGATTGATGCACCACGATTCAACACCGTAACATACTTCCACAGTATAATGAAAATTTCAAATAAAATGGGAATTAAACACTCAGAAAGACCGATATCAGATATCTTTGACAGGATGAAGATATGAAGCTTAAAACTTTTACAAAACTTGATCAAATTACTCCTCCAACGCTTCGTTTGCTCAACAAACTTTCTTGGGGAAGTCCAAAACCTACACCAATAAAGAAAAGAAAAATACCCACCTTGCAATGGTTATTAAAGATGGTCTACTCGCTAATGACTCTAATAAATCTTTAGTAATTTGAACTAGTTGTATTATTTCTTGTGTGGTACTAATATGATGTGGTAACTCACTATCATCAATAGTACAACCAGCTTCATGGACTAAATTTTTATCATAGTCCTTATTAGTACTTTCTAAATCTTCTAATAATTCCTTCACTAATATTGCACTGTAAATTTAGAGCGAAAACTTGCCAGATGAGAAAGCATACATACATAAGTTATACTTCATATCTTAAAGGGACAGATGCAGTTTTTGGGGCAGGTGATTAGGGTCTTGAATATATAAATGGTCTTCAGAAATACTAGAAATGTACAAAAATCGCATAATACCATAAAAATATCTCAAACTAGGAATTTCTTTCCCTTTTTCTATAGATGTCTTTTCTATATATGGTAGTGCCTCAAGAGTGTCTTGTCTATTTAACTTTCAAACATGGATAATTATGGACACACATGGATTTGAAGACACACATGGATTTGAAGACTCAAATTTCGATGATGAGCTATGAACACTATTACTACTTCATATTTCTGAGACTAAAGTATGATTGGTAAAAAAAATGGCGCACCTGTCCCTTCACAAGGGTAGTATGTGCTAGATTCAAAATAACAATTTTTAGGGGTTGATTTTGATATTGATTCTCTAAATGTATATTCAAATGTACTGAAACTGTACAAAAATCACATAATCCCTCCAAATACACCTTAAACTACAAATTTCACTTTCTATTTCTATATCACGTCTTATCTATATATAGCGATAGTCTCAAGAAAAGACGAGTCGTTATTTTAACATTCAACTGCGAATAATCAAAAAGTTATAATATATAATGTTACCGTTTGTTATTTTGTTGTTTAATGCTACTATCAAAACTTTCAGCATCAGAAAATAATAATTTCTTTATATCATCCAACTGTTGTTTCCTTTCTTTAACAAAGCATTCAACACCCTAGAAAGTAATATATAGTTGCAGTGGTAGCCCAAGTCTCCTGGAACTAATAGGGGTCAGACTGACTCAATGGAGGGACAACTATCAGAGTTGGGGTTCACATACAGAGGTAAGTCAAAGTATTAGGAACTTTGTTTTATATCTTGAATACAATAGCCCCTGTTCTTGTATTACAGAATGCAGTGATTTGATTGAATTGTATGTCAGCAAATCACAGCCTTCAAAAGAAAGACTAAAAAAAATGACATGTTATGTATAGACTTTCTTTCGAGAACTTGGCTGTATTCTCTGGGTACAATCCAATCAGATCACTACATTTACAAACTGCCGTGATACATGAAAGGTGACTATTGTATTTAAGGTATATAAGCTGGAGTCGTAATAGATAGACATTGTGAAGATGCCCATGGCTGGTCTGGAAGGCTCTCCACCCAGAAAAATTTAAAACTGAAAATGATTTGATACAATTTGATTACAGGCTTGATCCTCTTCCATTAAGCTGTCATTCCTATGACTTGCAAAATCTATGTGTGGAAACATATATAACTCTTATTTTGAAATGAAGTGGGGGTACCATAAGGAACACAAACTATTTTTCTTGGGTGGCAAAATTGGCATATATAAATGTTCCTACCTGATCAGATATATTCTGTATTGGTGAACATGTATAGAGTTGTTTTAAAAGTTCATATTGTGTTTTACTATACACATCTTTAAAAGGGTTTTTAGTTGAATAAAAGTCAAGATCTATATCCAATATAAACTTTTTCTCTTTTAACTTTTTCATTAAATAGTCAAACTGTGGAGTGGCTTGATAATGTGTTTTATTTTGCGATGAATTGTTTTGATCACTGTTTTTCCAACTCTCCGGTATTAGAGTTAAAATAGTTAGTGTCACTGATTTGATATCATCTAGATTTTCTTCTCTAGAATACAGTAATTCACTTATAAAGTAATTCTCTTTACATGTTGTTCTGCAAAATGAAATGAAAGGGTGTTTAACATTTGAATAAATTTAGTAAACCCTCCTTATGACCAACTTATGATACCATGAACTTGTTCATGATTCAGTGAACTTATTCATGATTCAGTGAACTTATTCATGATACAGTGAACCTACCTATGATTCAGTGAACCTGTCTAAGATTTAGTGAACCTATTTATGATTCAGTGAAGCTATGTCCATAAGATTCAGTCAAACTCTATGATTTAGTAAACCTTCCTATGATTAGTGAACCCACTTATGAATCAGTGAGCCTATATGATTTAATGAACCTAAATCATCTTTTTAATTAAAATAATTCTTACCTTATTGTACCTGTTTTTTTACATTTACCAACTTTAAAATTTATATAGCTATCCGGTATTTGTTTAGCCCATGGTGGTTTAATCCAAAATATGTCACCGATATGTCCTGCATAAACCAATGGTATAATCCAGTTTTCAATACTCAAAGTCCTAAAAAGAACCGCTAAGTTCAGCAAGTGGCAAATAGATCCAAATTTATCAAGAATTATCAGAATCATAAATATACGTGCACATAGCGGGCATATAAAAACTGCAGACAATCGTGTCCACAAGCAAATATCGAGGCATTTTACTCTATTCATGGGCAATAACTCATAAACCATTCAATATCTAACTTTATTGATATATCACGGATATAAAGCCAAGATTCATTTCCAGTTATAATAAAATAGCAGTTTGCTAACCAAAAGATCAACTGATAGACAAGGGTGACAAACAATACTACTCAATAAGAAATAACTTAACAAAATCCAACCCATCACTCTTGCAAGATCTGCATTTACTAGATTTAAATTTTTCAAATGTCGTGAATTTTTCTTTATAAAAACTAATAATAGGTAATAATTAATACCTATAGAGATCATCTTTAATAAATACTTGATCTGCTGCCATATCTATTGGTATTAGTAAATCTGGATGCGAATCAAAATGAACTAATGATATATCTTGAAAAGGTAAAACTTTACTGCCTATAGCTCTATGTATGACTGGTACAACCTACAAAATCAATTCCAAACTTAATCATTTGGATTTTATCCTAAACAACATTTAGAAGGCTAATGAAGAGCACATGATATAACAAATAACATGCCTAATAACAAAGTACATAATGTATCAACACAATTTACATGTGTGGTCACCAGATGAAATATACTTTGTTATTGAAGAAGTGTGTTATACTATAATATATTCACCTTTGCTTTTTTGTTAGATTTTATCCATGTTATGAATTGTGCAAAAGGCTATATTCTAGTAAGGATTATTCCAACCAAATGCAAGAAAGATTGTATACTTGAAGTAACCTCTTTAAACATCCACTTTTCTTTCAGAATCCAATAGTTATTACTTAAGAAACAGCACGAGAACAAAGAGTCAAATATTTATATTCATCATGACTTTCTCAAATTGAAATATTTTGTGTGTCATTTTATCAACATAATTTTGCATAATTCAAAATAGTCCAAACCTCATGATGATCTTCAACAATATAAGCATTTACAGTCTTCACCTTTTCACAATTCTTTGCCATTTCAACACTGATACAGGTAGGCCTCCACAATTCTGTTCACTAAAAAATTAAATAAAATATTTTAGGCTACATCAACTTTCTCTACTCTCAGGCTGCTTTGATGTTTTTTTTTTTCAAGAAGCATACCGGGTTCGTTCATTTGATGTGATACATAATGGTATTTATTTGAAACCTACTGATTCAGTTGCATCTGTAGGTCCTATATATGCCAACATTGAAAATTTTTGTGGTTAATAGACCATACCCAATAGTGCTATAATGTACGTGGTAAATAGCCACTACCGCTTATCAACTTTCCGTGTAAGGCTATTTATTCATTTCAAATTTAGAATAACCAAACCTTGAATTTTTAGTTAGATCTACTGTTAAGTGTTTGAACAGAAATCATTCTAAGGAAAGCTTGTCAAGTATGTGCTACATCTAGCATCTAAACAGAAGAAGGCATCATTCTATTCATTCATTACCTACTGATTCGGCTGAAGTGAAGTTCACTAGCCTAACATATTTATTTATTCATGTTCAAATTCATTTCCACGACGATTTGAACCATTTTATTTATCCAGCTAATATAACAGTTAATTACTGACTTTAACTGACATTTATCATGAAGTGTTTGAAAAACTGAGTTACAAAAACTCCTTGGTTCAAAATATCTTAAAGTTGAATGTGAATGCTTCAAATTTGTATTATAACTTCAGCACTGAAGCACACTGTGTGATTTTTCCAGAAAAAAGTAAAGATTCTAGAAACTTTAAAAATCGATAAATCAAGCAGATCTAGGCCCGATTTCATCTTAATGAGATAAAAGGTAGGCTAAACACCTTAGTGCTTTGTAGGCCACGTGTAACTAGTTAGCATGAATTATGCATAGGCATAGACTTTATAGTTGATTGTTTAGCCTTTGCTTTGGCCATTAATATTATTTAATTAGTAGGCTAGGCCTACTTTAGTCTTTATTATGAGAGTCGCTGTTAGGTGGTGATGAGAACATGTCTCATGAAAGCACTGGCCTAGGTCACAAATTAAAGATTTAAACAAGGTGCAAGTTAAAGGTTAAGATAATTAGATATGTTAACTAAGAATGTCTCTGTAAGTGTAATACTATCTGTGGTAGTATCATTTCTTTAGCTGAAATAGCTCAAAATATATAAGAGTCAACATTCTTCTGATATATCAATAATCGCTGTCTGATAGGACTATTTCTTTTGCGCAGGTTTTCTCCAATAGGCTAATAAGCTATCAAGCTATCAATTGTGAAAAGAAACCATAGTCTTAGAAAGTTAATAAACAGAAAAGAAATATATCTACTGTATGAAATTGTCCCATTTCTCATTTCTTTGGTGAGCATTTGTCCTGTGAGCAACTTTCTGGTGAGCATTTGTCCTGTGAGCATCGGTTGGGTGAGCAACTGTCTGGTGAGCAATTTTTCGGTGAGCATCAATTGGGTGAGCAATTGTCCTATGAGCATCTGTTTGGTGAGCTACTGTCTGGTGAGCCATTTTTCGGTGAGCATCAATTGGGTGAGCAATTGTCCTATGAGCATCTGATGGTTGAGTAACTGTCTGGTGAGCAATTTTCCGGTGAGCATCAGTTGGGTGAGCAATTGTCCTATGAGCATCTGTTGGATGAGCAACTCTCTGGTAAGCAATTTTCCGGTGAGCAATTGTCGTACACTAAAAAGGCTAGGCCTAACCTTCTTAAACTTACTGGTTGACAAATTCAATAGTGTCTGCAAAAAATTATTTATTTTCTTCAGATTACATAAGATGAGAAGAATGTCTTCAAGAATTTCATGTGGAAGAGACTTTCATTGTGTTCCTGACATAAATTCAGCATTGGACTCAGCATGCAAAGCTGGGTAAGTTTGGATAAGCCTATTTGATGCCAGCACATCTTTCGTTGAGGAAGTTAATTAAGAATTCAGTAGGCCTATTTGATTTTTCTCTGTCAATATATTTCATTGAGCAAAACCTATCGAAAAATACGATCTTGTAAAAAATTAAATGTACTTCTTGATCTTCACCAAATATAGGCCTTATGAATTTAATCCAAGGTATTCACAGCAAAGTGAAATGTAATAACTATTTGTATCGCACTAATGATGAAAACATTTATTTAAATGTCACTTAAATGTCAGACCATAGCCTACTTAATTTGTGGCTTAAAATTGTCAAATTTCAACCGAAAGGCAATACATGTATGTCATAAGCTTATATGTAGGCCCTACCATACAAATTTAATCAACCAAAGCTGGGTTTAAATTTGTAGGTAACCACTCCTTTGATTGTGATACTGAAAAAATTTATTTGTTTTTTTGTTTGTTTTAGGTATGATTTTATTTGTCTACCAATTGTTCATCCCAGATTTCGTAGAGAGTTTATTAGTGGTCCTAGTAAAAAAAGATCTGGTGCTTTAACAAGATCTGATATGTCACTTTCTAGCCAAGGTTTGTAAAACTGCCCCATAGCCCTCTGTGAGTGTACCTTGTTGGCACCCATTTGTTGGTGGTATTGAAAAAATCAATAGGCCTACATTATTCTTATGGAATGTAAGCACCAGCTTAGAAATAGCAAGAATTATATCAAAATTCTGTCTCCCTTTGTACACAGATTTAATGCTTTTTAATTTAGCTTGGAACTTTATTTGCATTTAACTTTTTGAAACAGTTCAATTTTTTGAAATGGTTTCTCCATAACATTCAGTTTTGTCTCTGCTTCTAGACTTTGATCAAAATATTTCAAAATATGCAATGAACATCAGGTCACAATGCCAAGTTAATTTGGCAATAGTTAATAAAATAAATTTTGAATTTGTTTATCAACTTATAGATTGGAGTAGTTTAATTGTGGGTAAAATATCACCATGGTTACAAGTTGATTCACCTCATCTAGTCGTTCGCAAGAATTCTGAAATGGTTAGTTGAATATTTGTTTACATTAAATACAATATCAAATACATTATTTACGTACCTGACAATTTTATCTTTGTTGCAAACTGCATGGTATTGTCCATATTCTTTGACCTAATCAGGAACAGAAAAACCTTTCATTTTTTGCAAATATATTTGTTTATTGTAGGCATTTAAACAAGAATTGATGTATGCTGCTCATCTTAGTATGCCATCAGTATTGTTATCTATAAAAGGGCCTAATATTGTTAATTTGGCTAGATGTTTAAATGAACATTTGATTTCATCTTATTTTCAACAGGTATTCTTATTGTTCTAATGTTCTAAGTCATTGAAATATTCAACCAATCAAATGCTCTGTAAAGTAGAGAGTAAATTTAGGATATTTATTGTTGAACATTCGCCTAGTATTGAAACCTAAGTTTAATTGTAATAGGGGAATGAAAGCTGACACAGTGAAAACTCTAGGAAGCACTGGTCGGGGAATCAGAAGTATTCTTACTTTGAGGTTTAGGAGAATTCAAATCCACAGTACGTAATTGGACATTGGGCAAACTCTATAAAACACTGGTCGGGGAAGCGGAAACTTTCTCACTTAAACAGCACCTAATCGCCTAACAGAACAATCCAACAGGCTATCGACTGAGCAATTCCACTGCTATATTGTCTGATTCATCATAATTATCCAATTCGGAATCCTCTGCTTATTTTTATGAAATTGCTCAGATTATGAAGTTTGTTGAGTAAAGTTTGTTTCTTTCCGTTGCTGATTTTTCAAGCATCTTAGTTTGATATCCAATGACAACTAGTTATCGATTTGATTTGCAGCATTTTTGGATTCATGTACCATTAACATCTAGTAAAGATCAAGTTGATGATGTTTTTGATAATGGTGGTATGAAAAATAATATAGAACAAGAGTTTGATGATACATGGGAATGGTAACTTCTAACTTTTATACTCCCACATGAAATATGCAGTATTCTTTGTTAAGCAGTTTCCCTCTGTCAGAGATGCAGGTCAGAGGGGCTGTCGTTTGCATGGAATTGAGGCCTAGTGTGCTATAGGTTATGCACTCTAAAGATCCTCAACAGTTTGAAATGAAAAAGTAGGCTATTGCTATTGGCCTTACAAATTTCCTTTGCCTTGAACACTTGGCCAGGTTGGGTACAGAAAAGTAGGACATAAAACTTGCAGCATATATTGTTCTCATCTATATTTGTGTTTGGTTGTAAGCTTATTCTTGAATGAAATTGAACAAAATTTACGAATTTTAGAAAACATCTGTTTGATCAACAGCATGACAAAATGGTTGTTTTTGGGCATGATTCAGATTTTATTCGGTTGTTGAAATTTGACTTTCAGGTGGAACACTTTCAGAACATTATGTGATTCCAATAAAAGATTAGGTGTGGCTTTAGAACTGACAGCTGATTTACCAAGTACAGTTATATTGAATAGATGGATTGGTGAACCAGTCAAAGTTTTGATCTTGTCTACCAGTATTTTCATAACCAACAAGAAAGGTTATCCAGTATTATCCAAACAACATCAAACTTTTGTCAGACAAATGTTTAAGGTATAGTACAGAAATAAAAGATAATATTTTACAATGATCTAATGGATTCCTGCTGGTTTTTGGCCAAATCCCTTGGCATTGATCTTTATTGGTAGCTGCACCCAGTTACAGATGGGTTGACTGGACTAATGAGGAAAGATGATCTATTCAAGCTGAGGAGACTTTCTTGTCAAACTGGGGGTGAGGTGTGCATATATTTATAATAGTATCGAAGGTGGTTGCTTTGTGTAGATTGATAAGATATCAGGCAAGTTGGGCATTAACAATGTGTAGATGAACATATTGCATCATCCATGCTTATTCTGTTGAGATGCCCTATTATGTGCAGCAATATCTTTGCTTTGACATTAATTATTACAATATTTTTACAGTTGGATATACAGATGATAGTTACTGGTGCTGATAGACATTCTGATAAAGGTTTAAGATCTTATCAACAATATTTAGATCATCTTTTTCAGGTCAGATAATATACTTTTTGATGTCTTTCTTTTTCAAAAGTTTCTTTTAATCGAATCATATAAACCTTTATTGTTTAGCTAGTATGTTATAGATGTATTTTATATTTATAGACTCAACCACAAGCTGATCAAATAGGACAGTTTGCTAAAGGTTATGAAGATTATTTACAGTCTCCATTACAGGTACATATATCCATAATGTCCAATGTTGATGTTAACACTGAGATGATTATCCAATTTTCATCTCCTTCATCAATCCATCATTTCAAATATGTCCTGAAAAAAATTTCCTTCATTGCATACTGCTTGGTATCTTCATTAGCACAGAAGGTTTAAAACTCAATTCATTTCAAATGAAATCTGATATCATCTTATTTCATGTAATTTAAAATTATTTTTTTTGTCAGCTGCAATTAAGACCAAAGCTGCTATGTTTGCTTATGTTATCGTGTCTAGAAATCTTCTCTTTGTATCTTCCAGCCCCTTATGGATAATTTAGAATCCCAAACTTATGAAATATTTGAGAGAGATCCTGTCAAATATTCACAGTATCAAAAGGTATGTTACTCATGAGAAAAGTTTTGACGTACTGTATGGAATGCCCCATTCATTGTATTTATTATTTTGAAAATGGGTGAAATCTTTATGTGGATGAATATAGAGGACACCCATGCCAGTTTGCTTCTTCTTAACATTTGCTGGAATAAGCTTTTGAATCAACAATTTTAAGCCAATTTCGATAAAACTTGGTATTCATAATTTGCAACAGTGACAAGCTTTGATTTGATTTTATTTTCCTCTCCCACTTTTGCAGCTCATGTACTTCCATCAAAGATTTTATTTTTTTTCTAATTTTTTTTAGGCTGTTTATTATGCTTTGTTGGATAAAATAAGTGAATCAGAAAAAGACCAAAAGAAAATGTAAGCTCTTCCTTATTTTGTTCTATGTATTCTGATCATGAATAATCTGAAATTGATAAGTTCTTGATTGCTGAATTATTTAACCAATCAAATACTCTGTTTCAAAAGCTATTTCTTTCACATATTATGAAGAAACCTAGGGTATGGATTTGAGTAAAATGAATGCCTAATTGTAGAGAAATATGTCTCCTACGCATTCTAAAGGTTTCAACTAATAATATGGAGCCATTATGATGTCAATCACCAAAACTAGGTCAAACTGCTTAATTAATAATCAGTACTCACCGTTTCTAATTAACTTTTAAAATAAATTCAGTTTGATCAAGAAGATACATAGATATAAATAGCATACTGAAATATTTTCAGGTAGAATTAAGATCATGTAAATTGTAATGCTAAAGAAATTGCAAATATTACTATAGCTGTTATGTAGACTCTCAAAATTTGTTGTAGTGTACTAATGGTAGTAGGAGCTGGAAGAGGACCTCTAGTCAGAGCTGCATTGGCTGCTGCACAACAAGCTGATAGACAAGTTAAAAAACTTTATGCTGTTGAAAAAAATCCCAATGCTGTTGTAACGTAAGTTTTTATAGTTAAGTTCAAGGATATACATCTTTTAAAGGGATTGTTTATGTATATTAGGAATTAAGTATCTATTTCTACCATTCCTATATATGGTACAATGTATGAAAATCTCCATGTTATCAAGTATGATTTGGTTACAATGACCATTTGGACACAGACCACACAAATTACTTGTGTCAGCCATTTGGACCCAGACCACTCAAATTACAGGTGTTGGCCATTTGGACCCAGACCGCATAAATTACAGGTGTTAGCCATTTGGACCCGAACCAAACAAATTACAGGTTTTGGCCATTTGGACACAGACCACAGAAATTTAAGATGAAATTATCATCCAGATTTCTATCATGTTAGCTGTTTGTATAATTCCTAACAAAACACAAAGTCATAAAGGAACTCTAGACATGGAATTTGAAATCAGAACACAGAAAATAGAAGCTATGTACATGAAGCAAGAAAACCTATTTAAAATCCTTTCTAAAAATGCTATTGTACATTATTCCATATGTTTTGTATTGTAGATTGGAGAATCTAAAAGATGAAATGTGGGGTGAACTGGTAGATGTTATATCTTGTGATATGAGAGTCTGGGAGGCACCAGAGAAAGCTGATATATTGATCAGTGAATTATTGGGATCATTTGGTGATAATGAACTCTCACCAGAATGCTTAGATGGTGCTCAGAGATTCCTGAAAGGTAACTGTACAGCTTTGCTATCTTTTGTGCGTCATACATTAAACTCTTGGCTTCGAGACTGAAAATTGATATTGTATAATTGCGAATATAATGCTCACTCCTAAATCAAAAAAAAAATATTAAATGTCACATCTTATCTGTACACAAACCCATTTGAAGACAAACTGTAGCTCATTTGGTTAGAGTGTCAACATCATGTCACCATTTGCTTGGCTGTGTCCAGCAAAGGTAGTGGTTGGTTATAATCTTGGTCGACAGTCAGACTTTTCCTCCTCATTCCAGTAAACCCTGCTGTAAATGGGTAAAGTTAATACTGAAAAGATTAATGCCAAGAGGTTTGGTCAAGGAACAGCTGGTATCCAGGGTACTGGAGAATCTTAGTTGTAAGAATTGGAATTTCCTCTTAGTACCACCTTATCAGTCAGTCATGAAAAAAGCATATAAAATTTTACCTGGCCTTTATTACTCCTAATATGGATGTATTTTGTAGATGATGGTATTAGTATACCATGTGAATATACCTCCTATCTAGCTCCTCTTCAATCTCCTAAATTATATAATGAAGTTAGAGCTTCTAAAGAGAAAGACCAGTTACCAGGGGTTTGTTTTACTTTTCCTTTTTTTGACTATTGATCGCGGCATGAACATGGCTTTATTGGCCTAAACTGGAACAGTAATAGTAAGATGTAAACCACCTTTTTGACTATTTTTTACCACTTTGCTCTCAACTGTAAGGGATGCAGATCATAGAGACTGGTATTCAAAAAATTTGAAAATCAAGACCCTGTGTGCTACAGGCTGTGTACAATAAAGGTCTTGCCACAGCTGGAAATCAAAAAAAGAAAAAAGCTTATTTTGCTGTCCTTGCAAAATTTTCCTCTTTTTTCTTTTAATAGACAATTAACTAATTTAACTATATTTTTAGAGCCCATTTGAGAAGCCTTATGTAGTCAGGCTGCATAATTGTCATGTTTTAACAGAACCCAAATCTGTGTTTACATTTCATCATCCTAATAAAGGTAAGTGCAATGTTTACAGCTTATATATTTTCCTCATCAATGATCTAAAGAAATTTTTTTTCTAATCATGTTCAGTTAAATTTTTAAGTGACACTGTTGTAATATATCCAATCAAAAGCACTGTTAAAGTGGGCTAACAATGCACGTCTATAGTCAGCAATGAAAATGGGTGAGAAAGTACTGTTTTCTGTAATTAAGGTTATTTTGTGTACATCGGGATACATTTAAGACATAATCAAGACTGGTCTATTATATCTTGAGGTAGTTTATGTTTGCATAAGAGACAAGAGAACAATAGATGTATTGCGTCAACGATTTAATCTACCTTGAAACAAAATAGACTGGTCTCGGAACTGTGTCCGATTTTTTTGTTGATGTTTTTTGTAGATGAAGTAATTGATAATAATAGATATATCAGCTTAGAATTTCAAGCAGAATTTAACTGTGTGGTTCATGGATTTGCAGGATATTTTGAGACTATTTTGTACAAGAATATCACTTTGAGTAAGTACATGTATTAAGACAATATTTTCTGTTGAGTTTCTTATACAAGCTGTAATCTGGTACACACAGTGCTGTTCTTTAAATGAAACAAGAAGTATTCTGCAAGACATCCTCACAATGTCAAGCTATAACATAACTTTGTCTGATACCTTGACTGCAATATCCACCTTTCTTGTATCATGGAATGCAATTTGATTGGATTGTACACCAATGACTACAGTCAATCGGTCTGCTACAGTCTGTCTGTCATGAAATATGATTTGCTGTATTCACTAATGTACAATCAACCTATTCGCTGCATATACTAACTTCAGTATTACAAGAAAGGTGGATATTACAGTCAAGGTATAAGGCTAAGATCATAATACTTGAGAATGTGAAGATGAAAGATGACCTTTAATTGTTCTGATATAATGTTTCAGGTATTCTACCCTCAACCCATTCACCTGGTATGTTTAGTTGGTTTCCTATTCTGTTCCCTATTAAGGTAAGTTAATTCATTATTTAGCATTCATAATTCTATTTTATGACAATATTTTTTGGTGGGTTAAAGTAAACCATGTCCGTCCATCCAAGATTTGTTTAGTTTTCCATTTGTTTTTGTTCATTTATATTTATTTATATAGCTCGTGGATCTTCTTAGTATCCAGTTATAACAAAATCTCAGATAATTCAGAATGATTAATTTTCTCTTATAGACACCTATGAATATAAAGGCTGGAAATAAGATTATTATGGATATTTGGAGAAGGTGTACAGATAAGAATGTCTGGTATGAATGGACAATAAGGAGTCCATTTCCAATTCCCATACACAATCCTAAAGGAAGATCGTACACAATTGGTCTTTAGACATCTTTAATACCATTATTCTCAAGTTTGTATTTTTTGTAATGGATTAAAAGATTAAATAAATCTTATCCTATATATTATATTGTATATTTTCAATACTTTAGTTTAAATGTTTTTAAAGGGGTTCTGTAGCACAGCTTGTACACTTTACATGACGTTATTTGCTTGGTAATTTTGAATGATGATCATGGGTTCTTGTCTCGGTCAGAGTGTGAAAGTCTGATGACCTTGGATAAGTCATCTTACCTCATTATTGCATTCAATTCAGAGGTCGGACTAAGGAGCAGCTGGTGGAAAAGATCTTTGGGAACCAATGTTGTTATCTTTGGCTTATCTTTCTTGCTTTCCTTACAGCAAGTATAATGGTGATAGAATTATTGATAGAACTTGCTTGATGCAACAAATCAAACAGTGTATTGATGCTGATGTGATATAGTGAGCTGCAGTGGCTCAGTTAGTTAAACACTTGCTCTCAAATCTGAAGGTCCAGGGTTCAATCCTGGCATTAGTCAAGATAATATCTTCGTATTTTTCAACCCGGTTTCCTCTAACATGAGAAACACCATCTAGTCGTTACGATGGGACAATAAATCGAGGCCCCGTATACTACAGACTTTGCACTTTTGAGATCCCTTGACAGTTGTAAATCATAAAAGAGAAGACATATGCCACTGTCCTCACAATTTCCCTAATTACACACTGCATGGCGTTGCCCTTGAGGTGCAGAAAGAGGGATGTAAAACTCATTTCATTTCTGATGCGATACAATGTCAAAACCTGAAGTAAAATTTTGACTGTTTTATTGGAGTATATTGTAAACATTTAATAAGTAGTATAATATCATAATATTTTAAACTATGAAAACACAACAATCTATATCATACAATATTTTGACAAATTTTGAATGCATTATAATATAACAATATAAAGATTTAAAGGAATTTTGTCAAAGAAAATTGAAAGAATTTAACATAAAATTCAGATTTTATAAACTTTTTCAATTACGGCTAGATTTTTAACTCATTTATGTATTTGAGTACAAAATATTGCATAACCTTATGTTTCATGGGTTTGAATCCTTAATGTAAGAAAATTTCTGATGCCAGTGCTTCAGAGAGTCAGTCAGGTGTCGACTCTCACCCCCTCATACATATGGATAATTTGAGACAGAATTCCTTTAAAAAATACATGGGGTGTACATATACATATATATAGAACAACAATAATGAAAGATAAAAATAATAATAATAATCATTATTTCATTATTTACCATAATTTTAATATGACGTACAGCCATTTTAATTGTAATAACTAAATTTTTTATTGTCACAACTCGTTAAATAGGCACTCATATGAGCAAATCATCATCAGTCCTTTTTTATAGCTTCAAGAAATAAGTGTTAGAATTTTGTTCTTACATAAAGTCTTGGTGAATTTAAAGGACAGATACACCATTTTTGGGGGGTTGATTTGAGTCTTGAATATATGTAAATAGTCTTCAGAAGTACAAGAAATGTACAAAAATCACATAATTCCTTCAAAAATACCTCGAAAAAGGAATTTCACTAACTATTTCTATTTGTCTTTTCTATATATTAAGACGAGTCGTTATTTTAACTTTCAAATGTGGATAATTCTGCACACACATGGATTTGAAGGCTCAAATTGAGCTGTGAACACTATACTAATTAGCTTAGCTTTAAAAATTCTCTTTCTGAGACTAAGGTATGATTGGTCAAATGGCTAACCTGTCCCTTTAACTTTTGGATACAAGAGCATTTATTATATAGTTATATATGAAAAACGTAAAGACATATACACACAATACTAGGAAATACGGTAAAATTGGAAATGGAGTTAGTTTAAGGGTAGGGGCCTTATTCTAGTATACGTAACTTAAGATGATTTTGATTTTAGTTTTCGGAGATGTGAGCCTTCAATTATCACAAATGTACAGGCCTAGGATTTGAGTCATCTGATTGGTCAATCATCAAAAAATATTTTGAAGTTAGTTTTATTATCCAATCAGACTACTGTATTTCTTAAAATCAGTTAAGGTCCCATATAAATATGAAAATTTGTATTGCTTAATGTTAAGTACATAATCAAGGGATAACCCATCTTTAAATATTGTTAAAAATCATTTAAGTATTCTGAACTAAATTTATGCCTTAGATAAAGTAATATAAGAATTTTTGTTAAAAAAATAGTTTTCAGTTTTCATGCATGATTTATCACAAAGATTTACAGACAAAAGCTGCACTTTTACATTTGGCTGAGGCTATTTACCCCATGACAGTACAACATAGGACCATCCCTACCTAACCTTAAAAGAGTCACTAAATAGAATTCCTGAAAATCAAAATGGCTCCACGCGCTAGAAAAAAAATAGCACAGACGGGGAAACAATCCATTTGCCCATGTACAACACGGATGAAGCTCTCTCATTGGCTGCTAACAACGGTACAGAGAAGATAGAAAACAGAGACAATACGTGCCAAGATAGTGCAAATAGCCAGTGCTTTGACATTTATTCATAACGGTTTAACAGTTAAGCACCTTTCATATTAAGCCGAATTGGACCAGTTCAAATTATTGTCAGCAACAGCCTATTTGTTAGTCTAAATACAAGATCAGGAAACCATGGTAACAGATAATGTTAAAACAGGGGGTACATATGCTAGAAATTGAAATAAAAAATCTTGTTTTATCCTCCATTTTGTCTTCCAGTCTGGGCTTCATCTTGTTGATGACAAACCACATTCAGTCTTCATCATATTATTATATCATCTGAAAATGTATTGACTTTGACTTCATAAAAAAAAGAAAATTTTGACTAAGGCTTGTCTTCCAATGGCTAATAATACTGTAACCTGGACATATATGAAGCAATGAAGGCCAAAATTTTTGTTGAATTTCAAAATATTTTGTATGTAGAAAAGCGTGTATTAGGCAAATGTTTCCATGAAAAAAGGGAAACACACTGTAGTCTTCAATTCCTCAATATATTTCCAATTGACTGACCTTGATAGAAAAAATTTAAGCTTCTGGTTTGCTTTCTTCTTTTTTACCCTCACCATCAGACGCAGCTTCAGTGGCATTCTCCGTTTCCTGATAAAATATAAACAATTTCATAAATTATTGAGAATAAAATAAAGGTAATGCTGAGTAGCATAGTGGCATCAGGTGTTTCAGAATGGTTGAGCATGCTATGACTTGACAGGGACACCAACTTCAGTACTTGATGTCTTGAAGCTTCAATATAATACAGTTGTTGGGACTTGACAACTAGATGACCTATGCACATTCTTGTGCCTATTTATAACTAGGTTATGTGGAAAATTATTTATTCATGGTCATCAGACTTTTTGATATAAACAATACATTCAATTCAACCACCTTTGTCCTTATGTAACGAGGCATAGACCAATTAATATCAGTTAGTAATATAATCCATTAGACAACTATCAGAGTAATATAATAAATGGAGAAAAGATCTACCTTAGGTTTAGGTTGGGCTGTGGGATCCAATATTAATTTACCAATATTTTTCCTATCGTGCATCTTCTGCATAGCTTCTCCTACCTAAATAGTAATATTTAATGTCATCAAATATGCTTATATCTTAGAGGAATTTTCAAGGTTTTGTGAATAAGATGTATCAAGCTTCTATTTGCAACATTCTGATTCCTGTTACTTCAGAAAACAAGATCATTATATGATGTCATCAAAAATACCATCTGCCTTGAAAGATAATTTCAATAGTGACATCAGGTAGCAGTGGTGGCTCTGTGAGTTAGACATTTGCTCGCTAACCTAAGGTCCAGGTCAATCCCGGCATAGGTCGAGATGATACCTTCAGATTTTTCAACCCGGTTCCCCCTGTAAGTGATGCAGGTAAGAGGGGCTGACATGGAAAAAGCGTCAAGTCGTTCGGATGGGACAATAAACCGAGGCCCTGTGTGTCACAGGCTGTGCACGTTAAAGATTCCTCGACAGTTGGAAATTGAAAAAGAGCAGGCTAATGCCGCTGTCCTGGCAAAATTTCCCTCATTGTACCCTGCATGGCATTGCCCGTCTTCATTAGCCCACATGGTGCAGAAAAGGAGGAGGTAAAACTCCATTCATTTCATTTCAATAGTGACATCAAAATATGGCCAGTTTTGGACCGAAAATGGTGCCAACAGAGCCAGAGCACCACTGATACTAATATATATCTACAAAGGTAATTCCTAAAATGGTCCGCCTAGTAATTTCTTCTATCAAAAGAAAACTTTTCAATATACTAATGCCTTTTGATAGAATGCCTTAAAAACATGCCTCAACTTACATCTTCAAATGCCCAAACTGAGTCAATAGTTGGTTTGATTTTGTTTTCTTTATATAGATTTAATAATTTATCCATAACACCTCGAATATATTCATGTTGTCCTTGTTGAAGTAAACGTCTTAGTTGAAATCCACCAATAGTTTTATTTTCATCAAATAATTTAATAGGAGATACTTTGTCCACTTGCCACCACTACAAAAAAAAATTCATCAAGTTTGATAAAACATATTAAGGCACATTAAAGGGGGAATACCAGACATGAACATAAGTATAGAAGTTTAATAATCAAGTAAAAAAAAACAGTCATATTTAACTTATACTCACAGACTTTGCAAAGCTGAAGAAACTTTTAGTTTCACCAGTAACAATATTAGAAGAACCTGCAAAATAAACATCAATATTGAATCTTGACTTTGAAAGAAAACACAGCTTTGCGCATCACATTGTACAAGGCTGTAAGACAATCCAACTTCAAATTAGACACAGGGGGTTTGGTGGATGAAAGATACCAAATTGAAAAAAAAAGACACTCTTAGAGTTTAGTTGTATTCCTCTCTACAGCCTTGAACTTTTCATATTCACATGTAAACAAGATGGGCAAAGTTTAGAATTACTACTATAGCTACTATAGAACTATATATTACCATAGAGGATGTATTTTCCCATTGGTTTTAACAAACTAATTCCTTTATTAGTATCATCACCACATAAACAATCTAATACTATATCAACTCCTTGTGGATATACCCTACAAATAATTCAAAAAATTAAATACAATATCAAAGGAAATCAATTTAATATGCAAATTCAACCTCTTAAGTTTAGAGTAATGCTAGGTATTCTTAATCATGCCACTATGCAAGGGTCACGACATTTTATCTTCAAAGTTTCTATATATATTAATTTATAACTTTGTAACTGTGATATTTGGTAATATAGTTGATAGAAGTGGTTAGCATCCACTGTCTTATAAATAGTTCCCAACAATTTCAGTGACAAAAATTGTTTTATCATAAAACATATCATCCCCATGTATTTATCGCTGAGTATCGTCATTCACAGATATATTTTGCTAGCACTAGTATATAACCCTACTCTTTCTAAACTAGCTATGCAGTCGACAAATATCCATCCCAAGGATTGATCTCTCAAATTGATCTCTTATTTATTTTATTTACATATTTGCATCATTACATTTCCCTTTTCATCTAACAACTTTAATGAAATTGTTACAAAAAATGAAATACACGATAAATGAAATACTAACTTTCTAACTTCTTGAGAATAATCAGTAGAATGATCATACAAGTGAGTCACATTTTCTTTAATATTTTCATGTTTATGATTAGATGCTGTACCAAATACTGTTACATTATCTACTGTTTTACAGAGTTGACTTAACGCAGTGCCCTGAAAATACCGTCATTTCAATGTAACAAACAAATGTTGATTCAAAATATTTTATCTATTGACAGAAACGGATACACATTTTCACCCATGATGCTGCAGGAATGCTGTTGCCATGGTTACAATGTTAAATTGCAAAGGACTATCCAAACCAAATGTCCACATGATATTTACTTGATTCCTGTAAATCCACAAAAATCCAAGCACATATTTTTTGCTTCAGAATAATAACCCAAATGAGACAGGAAATGAATATACCATCAAAATTTCTCAACCCAGTTTTTCTAGGTTGACATAGGTCAGAGGGACTCATCTCATTTGTTTATATGCCACAAGTTTTAGTCCCCCCCAAAAGCTAAAAATGCTGTCCTGGCAAGATATCCATCATTGCACACTGCATGGCTTTACTCTGGAGGTCTTATTAAGTTTAATAAAAAAAATTGTGTACATACCACACCTCCACCAATGGAATGGATTAAAATAGATTGATCTTTTCTTAAATTCCCAATATCAAATAAGAGTATATAAGCAGTTATAAAATTCATTGGAACGGCAGCTCCTTCATGGAAAGACATCTTATCAGGCATTTTATACACACAGCTAGCTGGTATAGTGACTAAATCAGCCCAACATTTGTAATCGCTGAAACCAATCACTCTATCTCCAACCTACAATAAAATTATCAAGAAATTTAGTGAACTTGTATCCATCCTACAACATTTGCTGAATGGCTTATCAACTACTAGTTGGAAATCCGTCCTAGACACCTGATACCACTTACTTACTTGATTGATATATTTGAAAAGTTCATTAGCTGCTACCTATATTTACCTATATAGACTCCTGGTATCTGGTTTTTTATCCTGCACAAAACGTTTTTAACAACTTACATTTAATCCTGTGGTATTTTCGCCTAAAGCTTCAACAACACCAGAACATTCGAAACCCATAATAATAGGAGTCTTTGGAGCATTTTCTATAACACCTTGCCTCACCATCAAATCAGGGAAGTTGAGACCCCTTAAAAAAATTGAAAAATAAAAAAATTAAACCATCATGCAAAATAACGTTGCTGGCGGAGGGGCAGAAAAGAGGAAGGGTATGGCTTTGGATTCCCCAATTTCAAATTTATTATCATTGTGGTGGTTGGGCTCCAAGGGGATATATTCAAAGTCCTTTATTTACAAAAATTTTACCCCTTGACACCTTAAGAATGGATTCGTTAAAATATGGCAGTGGCCCCTCCCATTCCAAAGTTCTAACTACTACAACTACCACTGTTGTACATACTGAAAGCATTCCTTTTTTAAATAATGTCAAAATAGCGTGTAACAGTGCCACTGGGGGTAAAGGGGGGAAATATAGTTTGTAACCCAAATTGTATGCCCACTGCAAAATGCACCATTGGAGGCTTGCGCTATGGAACCATTACATTTAGAATCTCTACCCCAACAGTTGCCATGCACGCCTCCCCCTTTCCTCCCAGTCAGTTGGCCTCCTATACTCCTACTTTAAATAAGAAATGAAATGGCACAAATAGTTATAAGTGTTCGGTCCTGATTGGCCATTAAGAAAATTTAATTAAATAGTCATTAATATAAATGAGTCATTCATCAATAATAACCATTCGTTTTGTTAGAAAATTGTTATGTTTTTTTTTTATAATTCATACTTGTATAAGACAGATTTGTTCAATCCTTAATACATATATACATTGATCAAAATATTAATGGCACTTTTTTGGCCCAAAAATTTGAATGTAGCCCACATAATATTTATATGGGATGCCAACTTTAATTCGCATCATTTCTACAATTATGTTTGACTTTAGGGCCTTAATTCACTGATTCATTATGTTAGGAATTATACGCTACATACAGGCTGCTGCAGTCAAAATTAAGGATTTTTCACAATGTTATTCTTGGTTTCATGGGGCTCAGGTGACCAATAAAGACCCCTGCGAAAAGTACCACCTCCTCTAGTTTAAAATCATTTACAGCCCTGTGTGTTTTTCTTAATATAACTGTGTGATGATCTTAAATTTGTTTATCACATAAGACCCTTTGCAATTAGTGACGTCCACAAATACTTAGTTTTAGTGCAATTGCAGGAACCATAGGCGTCTGATTGTAAATTTGAAATGGTGCAAAATGATTTTATCAGTGTCCCAGATACACATGAAAAATTTAATAAACCTCTTTACAATCCCTTTAAGGGGTACACATATGACCATATGGAAGAATGTTAATATCTTAATGTTAATGATGTAGATATGCCTCATATAAAGTCTGGATTATTATCAAATAAATCATGAAAATTTCAACAGATGTTATTGAAAGATCAGATTTATTTTAGTCAAAAAGCATAAACAATGTCTAGGCTAATTCTTATCATATAATCTTAGTAGAATGTGACACCATATGGTAGACTTAATTAGCTGATTCAGATATATAATTGTATATCAAATGATAAGATACTGAAATGTATAATATAATCAATATTGCACTGTTCTTGAATAATCACTTAAGCATTTTGATTTAGAATATTTGAATAACGACTTACCCTGCTTTGACTCTTATCAAAACCTCCCCCTCATTTACTGTTGGCTCAGGGTTTGGTTGTACTTTCAACATTTTAATTCCACCAAATCCCGATAGTACTATACTTTTCATTTCCTTAACTGGTGGTGCATCTTGCTTTTCAGTTTCAGTTTTTCCATCTTGATTTTCTGCTGGAGCATTAGCCGTCTGTTCCGACATCTTTGATTTATCAGCAGAGAGCGAAAAACGAAGCTTACTCAGCGATTCCAGAGTGAAGTTAGCCGGTGTTGAAAAGCAAGGTCAATACAATGGAATTAATTATGCTGATTTCATACTACACGACAGCAGAATGTCGTGGGTGGCGTTGTGGAATGGAATATCGACTAATTCAGTACCAGACTGGTTTACACGGTCGAGAAGACCTACAAGATTCCCAGTACAAGGCGGACAGTCTAGGGTTAAATAGTCCGATAAAACATTTTATGGGTCTATCTCTTTCGATCCATTATCGAAATTTCATTAACTGGCTCCATTAAATTTTTAAAACCGCCGAGGTCGTGCTAATGAACCAAAAAATGATAATTTCAGTTCGCGGTCACCTTGACTTGATTTCAAGGTCAATAAAGAATACTGTCCAAATTACTTCGCTTTCTGTTGGATTTTCTATTCTTCTTCCATTACAATCCAGTCCACTAAGGTACCCTATCGGGTGTTTATGGCTAGGGGTTGTTAAAAAAGAGCCATTTTCGACAAAACGGGGCATTTCACTAATATCAAACAAATTTTGCTCTCATAACATGTTGAACATTAGTGGGGCAGGCGTCTCAACTAGGCTAGATAAGCGGGGGCCCGTGGACTTAAGTATGTTAGGTTGAGGTCCCTCTTCTGGATATTTTTAATCATTTCTCTGAAAGCCTTGATTAATTCCTGTTATTGAAAGATTTAAAGTCTGTAGTTAATGCTATTTCACTCAGTTGAATATTGCTGGTTGCTTAGTTTGATGGTAATTATAATTTTTTAGGGGATTTACATTTATTATTTTGTATTTTTTTCTGCGGGTTGGAGGACACTTAGGTGTGAGGCCCGCGGACTTTGTTCAACCAGTCCCTATGGTAGGAATTTTAGGTTGTCACATTGCAGTTAAGTAATGTTACGAAAGCGCAGTAGGTCTAGTTGAGCCACCGAGGCAGAGGATGTGTATCTAGAAAACGCCCGAACGAATCCCCTTGAGGCAAGGGGTCTGAGACGCACAGAAGCCAACGGATTTCAGATGGCCTTTTATGAATTTTGAGATTTAAGAGGGCTTAATTGTGACTTCAAAATAAAACCTTTCACATGCCTGAAGGGACATAGGCCTACTGTGTACGAAGCTCTGGTTGACCCCCCTGTCCTCCCTACCCACTTTTGGCTCCACCACTGCCATTGGAACTATAAAGACACTGTAGGGCCTTTGACGTAGCATATATTTAGAAAAATTGGAGCAAGCTCCAAAAGCGCAAATTTAAGCAATTAAGAGTGCTTAAGTTAGCACCCCCGCCCCCTTTTTCTTGGCATTTAGGGTTCAGGTCAAGGTTCTTACACCTATTATTACAATTATTTCGCGCGCATAGTATAACCTTGACCTTGAAATTGTAAACAATATGGATGTTGAAGTATATTTCATTGCATACCGGTAACTGAAATGAGAACAATTAGGAAGAAGAAGAGGTTCAAAACTACATGTTTTAAGTGAACTGTAAGTGATTGAAAGCAATAAGTGAGATATCAAATCATATTTATGGCCCATGTAAATCTTATTTTCATATATTAGCTCACCTTGGATAGTATGTCTTTTTACAGCCGAAGAACAAACTGTAGTCTCACACTGTATTGTGCTGAGGCTTACCAGAATGTAGATATTTGTCTTCTGAATTGAATTTTGATTATTTGTGCCGACCTGTACAAAATGTATACATCAGTAGGCCAATGTAGGCTAGATGGCTACTAATGTGTAGCTATGCCTACCTAAAGTTCTTGAAGTGCTTCCATAGCCTGAAACAGGGAGTGGGGGGGAGGGGCATCTGAATACCTCGGCTCTCCTTTTGGAGGTAACTAATTGCGGTGAGGGATGAGAAATTCCTTAATACTCTGCTGATTTTAAAATCTTTATTAATTGCAGATCTGTGAAGTTCTAACAGATTGACAAGGATGAGTTTCCATCTTATAATTCATGCTGTTTCTATTGCTTTTATAGCTACTTTAATACCCAAATATTTACACCTTACTTACAAACATGAGGAACTTGAAGTCTTGTACCAGTCATGTATGAATCATATCGAAGGAAAATTGGCTGAACCAAAAGATGTCTCTAGTGATACTCGCCAAGAAATAGAAACATTTAGTAAAGTGACCATAGCACATGGTTTCGGTGAGAAAACGGAAGAGTATGAGCCGAGCGAAGTGGAATATTTTAATGAATATCTTGGATCCAAAAGTCAGGATAATGGACAATCGCCTCAAGTTGATGATTATTCTGGAACGCAATTCTCTGACAAATCTGTTAACAACAAAGTTTTATTTTCTGAGTCAAATATTGATGCCAGTGATTCCAAAGATGTTAAAGCAAGTGCAACTGTTAATTCGAATGATGCAAAAAATGAACAATCATCTCTATCAATGGAGACTTCTGTTCATTGTAAGGGAAATGAACGTTCAGAACGATTTTGCCATTTTGAAAACTTATGCTATCACAATGAACATAAAGATTTCATATTCTTCATGGCAAATGCAAGTATGATCGAAAATGTTCCGTCTGATTCTCAAAATATTTTAGACTTGTCTTCAGTGGCAGATCATACTTTACATTTTTTTTCATTTCTGTATTTACCAAGTGAAACGATGACCGATTTTACTGTGAAATGGATAAATCGACGTAGTTTGATATTCAATAGATTTAAACCAGATAATATCATGCATATACTACATGATGATATATTACCATTACATCACACCTTGAAACAAATAAAAGGGAATTTCAAATTAAATCGTAATACGCAAGAAAAATTTGATATTCAGATTTTAACTTTTGAAGATTGGCCCGATGACATAGAATATCAATTTCTTTACGACTTATTTTCAAGACATGACATGCTTACTGTAAATTCGTTGAAAAAAATGGGTGAATTAGTGTGTTTTAGTGATGTATATGTTGGTATCTCAAAAGAGACGACGTGGTATCAGTATGGATTTTATGTTCCACAGGGTCCTGTACCGAATTCAAAGGTAACATCTAGTCAAATACAAGACACTGTGAATTATGTATTATCTCATATAGACACCGAATGTACTCTATGTAACCTTGGACCATACCTTGTTTTGTTGTCCCGAAAAGAAACCAGACGTATTCTTAATGAAATGGATCTCAGCATATCAATAGCTCAGCATATAGGCATGAAAGTTTTGTCAGTGAGTTTAGAAACACATTCGTTAGTAGATATTATTAATTTAATTAGGAATTCTAAGGGTTTGATTGGTATGCATGGATCTCTGTTAGCCCTGGCAATATTTCTTCAACCAGGGAGCATTTTAATAGAGTTGTTCCCCTTTGCCATTAATCCTGCCCATTATACTCCATATAAAACATTATCAGGTATACCGTCTATGAATATTTATTATGCAAATTGGGTGAATACAAATGAAGAAAATACTGTTATGCATCCGGATTGGCCACCCGAATTAGGTGGCATTTCTGATTTAAAGGATCAACAGGAAATAATGAACCAAAAGGAGGTTCCGAAGCATTTATGTTGTGATGATCCCTCATGGTTATTTCATATTTACCAAGACACAATTGTGGACATTAATACTATAATTCAGTTAGTAAAAACAATGCTAACTGCCTCTATAAATGAAAACACTAGTGAAAAGGCTCGAAATATCGTGGCAGGACCAGTAAGAGACTTGAACTGTGTGACAGAAAAAAATTCTATTCGTGTGAAATGGAAAGCACCATGGAGTCTTCGATATATACCACATAAAACGGTCCAATATCAGTTATTTATTTTTAATACTCAATTGAATTCAACTACGTCTTTTTTGATAACCAATACGATCTATACGTATAATAAAACTGAAGCTACTTATTCCTTTTTGGTATGGGTTCAATGTCAACTTGACAATTTAAAAGGTTACTTGAGTAATCTTGTAAAGTGTTAATAAAGGAATTTTCTTATATGTTTTATTAAGTGTCAAAAAATTACTTTGCACATAGGACTCGTAGATAAATATGGATTGATTAACCCCCAGTCCCCTCCCCCCTCTCTCCAAAATGCCTGCGGATTGACATGGCCCACAAAAAAAATTTTAAAATCCTAAATACCTGGTTCTGTAAGCATCTTTGACAATTCTGTGGGCTATACTCAACAAAGCGTCAATTTTATGATAATAAAAACGCCAAAGAGTCACTTGGATAGGAAAGAAACAATTATATTTTACAAGGATAGCAACTTAGGTTCACAATTAAGGATTCCTTGTACAAGCTGGTCCTTGGCCAAACCTCTTGGTATTGATCTATCCGGGATTATCTATACACATGACCTAAAGGCACATTCGCTCGATGTAACCAAGCAAATGATGTCACATAGACAACCGACGCTCTGACCGCCTGTGCTAAAGAACATCACGATGACAAGTCGAAAAAACCCAGTTGCTGAATGGCATCAAGTGTTCCAAAAAGTGGGCATGCTTAACATCAGCCACAATACTTCTATGTGAAATAAAAAGTTTTCAGACATAGCCTAAAAAATGGCCATGGGAACACTTTGGATCACACAGCATAAAATTAATATTAGCTATGTGGACTCTCAAAAATAATAAATCACAATACACAAAACATTATTCTATTTTAATGTACAAATACATTCAACAATCTTACATTATATATTAATATCTTGTAATGTCATCTCTTTTTCATTTTTCTCTTCAACTCATTTTTCCTTAAATACACAATATTCACTTAAACTATCATTTTCATTATTAGATCATTAAATATTTCAATAAATATTCTCTAATGCTGTGAATTCAAATGCCACTTCTAGCCCTTGCGATACCAAAACAATATTCCAGTATTCTGATTGGTCCAAAATTTTATTTTTTTTCTAAAATAAGACTCGTAATTACTAAATATTGTGCGAAAATGCAGAAATTATATTCGTTCCCTTTTAATGACATTTCTGTGTGAATAGTCCCATATACTGTTAAAATTTTTACAATAAAGAATGCTTAGCACACTTCTTTAAAGAACTGTTATGAACTTGTATCATAATGTAGATATGAAAACAAGTTCTACTTGTCCAACTTCAGTAGGGTTGCAGGATGAAAATAGTCGGTTGTCTGAAGATCACATAGCGTGAAACTCTGAGTAACAACATGATTTTTTAAGTTCTGTTTAAATATTTCTATATCACTCTATAATTAATTTATTTAGCACTATTTTAACAGTGTATTTCAATATCACTCTACAATTGATGTATTGAGCACTATTTTAACAGTGAAAATATTTTATTATAGTAAAGAATCAAACAAATAATTCAGTATTTTACATTTTTTCAATGACCAGAATAAAGATTTGTCATATCACAGGTTAGATGTGGAATATCTCCTTGAATGAAATACATGGTTCACAGTATCAATTTAAAGTCGAAATCCACATTTCTTGTGTCTCCAGTTTCATTCACTTTTGCCTACAGAAGAGATTGGACTTGCACTGTTCAATGTTTTAAGCTGTCCAATACGTTATTTACTAATATTTGAACCAGCTTGACTTCTTTATGATAAAACTTCCCGACAGAGACACTACACCTCGGGTAAACACAATCAAGCTTTAAGCTCTGAAGCTCAAGTCAGTATCTTTCTGAAAACACATGATAAACTCAAATTTGTCAGTCAAATGCAATCTCCACATCAAGTTAATGTTACATCCATTTATAATGGAATTTATTAAGAGAAATGTCTCTAAGTCAATAATATTAGGCTGGAGTTGCTTCTTGATCTTTTTTGTCTTCCCTAGGTTCTTTCTCTTTATTCCAATTTTCTAAACCTTTAGGTAAAGTTGTGTCTTCTTCAAATGATCCTGAAACAGAAAAAGAACCATCTTGAAAACTGTAATATTACATAATATTGCATCCTATCACATCAAATTAGAGTGAAGTTTTAGTTTGATGGATTTATTTCCCAAAACCCTAATTCAAAAATTAAATTTAAATTTCACAGTTATATAGGTGGCACTTGATTGATGAGTTCTGAACAGGTTCCAATTCTGGCCTCAATCAAACGATACAGAACTGGATTATGTCGCATTCAAAATCTACCCTTCCATTCTTTTCTCTGCCATTTTGATTTCTGTCTGTACCTACTATTTTTCAGCACACCATTGAATGTGCGGTTGATTCCTTGAACTCACCAATAAATCACGCCCATGGTCACCAAGTTCCACCCAAAGTGGACATCGATTTTAGAACATAAGTTTGCTTACCTGTGCCCTCAACGAATTCTTCATATGTTGATTTTTCAGCAAAAGGTCTTTCACCTAATAGTTCTACCATATCAGCTTTATCTAATTTTTCTTTTTCTAATAATCTTAAAGCTACCTGTAAAAAGTATCAAGCCAGGATGAGCCTAAGACAATAACTATGTCAAAGCTGGATCAATTCTGCAGACGCCAACTGATGGGTATTAAAACAGTGTCCAATGTTACATACCTTTTCAACATCGTCTTTATGTTTGGTTAATAAATTTACAGTTCTATCATAGGCTTGTTTAACTAGATATCTGACTTCTTCATCTATAAGTTGTGCTGTTTGTTCACTGTATGGTTTATCAAACACCATTTCACCTGGTTTGGGCATATCAAATGACAACTGACCAACTTTGTCGTTCATACCAAAATGTACAACCTGCAACAAATAAAATGGAATTTTACGCAAGGCTATTGATTTGGCTTTATTTGCCAGACATGACCGGTAGGGCAACTCAAATTACCATTGGTCAATATCCTCTGGCATCAAGTATAGGTTAGCCATTACATGTCATTCAATGGTTGTCAAATGCAAAATTTATAGACAACTCTCTTAATGAAATATAAATACATTAATCACTGCTTGGCATTACACACTTACCTGAGAATAAGCACTTTGGGTAACTTTTGAGAGATCGTCCTGAGCTCCAGTTGTTATTTCACCAAAAAATATAGATTCTGATACTCTACCACCTAATGTCATACACATTCTATCTAATAACTGAAATAAAATTAAATCACGCTATACTGTAATTAATCAGGCTTACAGGCAACACCATGGAGTGTTGAGTGCACATTATGGCCTTGTTTTATTGTCCCATCTGAACAACACTTTTTTCACGTCAGCCCCTCTGACCTGCATCACTGACTGGCAAAACTGGGTTGAAAATTATAATTATGCCAAAAGTTAAGGACAAACACTCTTACCTGTTGTTTGGTGTATAAATATTGATCTCTAGGTAGATATTGGGCATAACCTAAACCTTTTCCTCTAGGTATAATAGATACCTACAATAACAAAATATATAATAGTTCTTATACACGGTCAAATATTATCTACTGCCCTATATTAGCATGTTATTTGACGCTTTTTACCCCAAAAAATCACGAAAGTTCAAAACCGGAACACAAACCCCACTCCCACTCCTGAAAATACCGCAAATCGAAGTTAGGAATCAGCCATTTTGTTTTTGTATTTGCAATAGTTATATCATGAAGCTTTTCTACACTGAAGTAACAGTGAATCATATGTGCTATACATATGCTTTTGAGCACCTTAAGAAGTTTGATCTAGGGCCTTATCTTCTGAAATCTTAACTTACAAAAATTAAGGTTTTAAACATAATCTGATTGGTTAATCTTAATTCAAAATCAACTTGACCAATCAGATGAAGAGAATATCAAAATCATTCTAAGTTTTGTCTTTTTGATTAAGGCCTCTGTTGATCAGAAGTATCCCAGAAGACTAGAATACCTTAAGGACGGGATCAGCATGTTCTAAATACCAACCAGCAACAGCATGACCTGCCTCGTGATAGGCTACTGTCTTCTTTTCATCTGGCTGTAATACTTGTGTTTTCTTCTCTAAACCTGGTTAAAGCAAAAATCAGCAAACAATTGTTAAAGAGCAGGAATTTGCTAATTTGCTTAAGCAAAGCTTTGCATAAGCACTATTGTAGATTGAATAGCAAAAAGCAATTTTTAATGCTTTTGTGCACAGCAGAATTGAGAAAAACACTTAAAACGAAATGAAATGTAGTAGAATTCTACTTTCTATTTCTTCATATGTCTTTTCTATATATGGCAGAGTATCAAGAAAAGACGAGTTGTCAGTTTAACTTTCAAACACAGATAATTCTGGACACACATGGATTTGAAGGCTCAAATTTTGACGGTGAGCTGTGAACACTATTACTGATTAGCTCAGCTAAAAAATTCCAATTTCTGAGAATAAGGTATGATTGGTCAAACGGATGGCAAACCTGTCCATTTAAAGAGACAGAAATTGATGAAAAAACCTACCTGCTATAACTCTTTCTATTGCCATTTCAAAATGTTTAGCTGAGATTGATGTATTGGCATCTCTAGCAGCTATTAAAGCCGCTTCATTACAAATATTAGCTATATCAGCTCCTAGAAGAGACATAAGGACATATATAGTAAAGACACTAGTGTAATTAGGGGGCAAGATCTATAAAAAATTTATTCTACTTTCACTTTCCAAAATCACATGTATTCTCCAGCTCACCATCATGCACCCTGTCAATGAAATCATCACTAGGCAACTAAGTAAACATAAAAAATTGGACAATCTGAGTTCCTGAACTTTGATTGGCTGATAATACTTGAAACCCTGTGCAGCAACACCGAACTATTGGAACTTGATTTCACATCATCGATTTATGTATCAAAAATGACTTTACCTGAGAAGCCAGGTGTTAAGGCAGCCATTTTCTTAGACATTTCATCCTTGTTTACTTCTGTTTTTAATGGCTTTAAATGAACTTTAAATATTGAAGCTCTGAAAATATAACAATCTGGATGGAGAAAAAAGCAGACCTTCTTATTATATACGGATATTTGAAAAAAAGACAAAACGACACATCCTGGTAAGTTCAATTCACAGACATCAAAAACAAAATCATAATGGAGAAAACAGAAGTGTTCTTGACACCATCAAATAAGCTAGAAAACCTTTTGAAAAACCTCAAAAGTCTCATTCAAAATTCTATGTTTATCAGAGCCAAATTAACAAAACTAAGGTTCACAAGGGTCCTTTCTACCAGCTGGTCCTTGGTCAATCATCTTGGCATTAATCATTCCTAGATTACAAGTACCCATTAACATCTAGGATGAAAGGACTTTTTTGGGAAACAAATTCTTGTTTAATGTCACCAGGCTTTCACACGCCGACCGAGATTAGAACCATCATTGGTTCAAGATAACCAAGCAAATGACGTCATGTAAAGTGTGCAAGTCCTCAATTTTTTTCTTACCTTCCTTTAATATCTGGTGCTGGAACATATATTTGTCTATCAAATCTACCTGGTCTCATTAAAGCAGGATCTAATATATCTACTCTATTAGTAGCTGCTAATACTACTACACCAGTCTGTGTATTAAAACCTGACAACAAATTAACAATGAATTATATTTCTGGATAGATCAATTATACAACCCACAGTTCTTCAGATAAAAATGCCTCTGTGATTGTCAGAGCTGCAGTGGCTCAGTGAGTTAGACGTTTGCTCGCTAACCTGAAGGTCCAGGGTTCAATCCCGGCATAGGTCGAGATAATACCTTTGGATTTTTCAACCCAGGTTTCCCCCTGTCAGTGATGCAGGTCTGTCAGTGATGCAGGTAAGAGGGGCTGACATGGAAAGGTCATCTTGTCGTTCGGATGGGACAATAAACCGAGGCCCTGTGTGCTACAGACAGTTGGCTTATGTCGCTGTCCTGGCAAAATTTCCACTTATTTCCACTTAAGAATCACACATAGTTTCATATGGCATGTGAACAAAACATGCAAAGCTCTCTTACCATCCATTTCTACCAGCATTTGATTTAATGTGTTTTCTTGTTCACTATTTCCACCGAAATTTCTCCCAGTTCGTTTTCTACCAACAGCATCAATTTCATCAATAAATAATATACATGGTGCATTCTTTCTAGCTTGTGCAAACATATCTCTCACCTAATCAATTATAATCAACATTATTAGACAGTTAGACAAGACAACTTACACATAGGTGGCGCTCAATTGGAGAGTTCTGAACAGGTTCTGTCTACTTCTGGCCTCAATCGAATGGTATGAAAGCAAATATGTCACATTTTTCCCATCTTTTTCTATCCCACCATTTTGAATTCTGTCTGCATTTTATGCAAATGATTGTATAGGAATGTAGTCCAGGCTATTTTTAGAAATTTTCTTTCTCTCTCCCTTTTGGGGTTCTTGCATGCCTATTTTTGGGTAAAATTTGGTCTAGATTTGGAATTTGATGTTTGAAATTGCATTATCTTTCAGATTTGGTGAGATGATGAGAGATCTAAAGGCGGAAGGCTAATTCTAAAAATAGTCGTTTTGTGAATACAGCCAATCAGAGCCTTGAACAGAAAAACTGTAAACAATATGCCTATATATGTAACTTTGATGCATGAAAACACGGAAAATAAATCTTATAGTTAAAGCTTGCTGACAAGTGCCGTAAGACATTTAAACAAGAGATGTGCCTAATGATGTCAAAATTTTGGAATGAAAACATGATAATTGTCTTACTCTAGCAGATCCTACTCCAACAAACATTTCTTGAAATTCTGAACCAGACACAGTAATAAATGGAACATTAGCTTCTCCAGCTGTAGCTTTAGCTAATAAAGTTTTACCAGTACCAGGTGGTCCAGTTAACATAGCACCTTTAGGTATTTTAGCTCCTAAATCACTATACTGTTTAGGGTTCTTTAAAAAATTGACAAATTCCATAATTTCTACTTTGGCTTCTTCGCAACCAGCAACATCTCTGGAGGAAAAGATATTAAAAAAATTTAGATTTATTACTCGAAAGGATATGACAATAAATTCTCCAGCATTTCAACTGCATGGTTCCTGCAATTTTCTGCCCAAAAAGTGGCATATTTGCAATATCGATGTTAAAGTTTTTGTTTCTAATAATTAAGTTGTCATTACTTTTCCTTTATAGATTTATTTGGATTATAGAGGAATTCTATTACAGAGGACCAAGTAAGTCTTTGATCAATATTCACTCTTATTGAGATCTAAAATTTGGGTTTTATGTTCAGGGTAAGAGAGAGTTTTCCCTGAAAGAAGATCATCTAAATATGTTACCTAAATTTGACACCAATATCACCTTTAACAACTTTAGCTGTGGATTGTCCAAATCCGAACATTCCACCTGGACCACCTCTTTTTCCTCCTCTTGCTCCCTACAATATACATGAGAAAATGCAGTTTTACACCCTACTTTTCTGCAATTGATCCAGCCAATGAAGACAGACAATCACATGCAATGTGAAAATAAGAAAATTTTGGCATGACAGCACCATAAGCCTACTCTTTTTAGATTTCCAACTGTCAAGGGATCTCTAATGTACATAGTCTGGGGCACATACAGAGTCCCAATTTAAAGTCCTGGCTCAAAAACTAGAAGGTTTACCGATGTCAGCCCCTCACTGACAAGGGAAAAAAGGTTGAAAAATCAGAAGATATCATCTCAACCTAAGCCAAGATTGAACCCTGAACTTTTACATTATTGTGCAAGTGTCTAACTGACTGAGCCACTGCAGCCCCTAATATAATTGAGAAGATATATGATACAGCTTAAATGTCACATTGAATAGTTCACATGCATATGATTTTTGATTACTTACCATCATAGACCTAGCAAACCATATTAAAATAACAAACGGTAAGAAAGTTGAAACCAAAACACCTAAGAATTTGTGCCTGAAAAGTAGAAAGGTATAGTTTCCAAATGATATGAATTGAATTTTACATCCTACTTTTCTGCACTATGCAGGGTGCAATGAGGGAAATTTTGCCAGGACAGCGGCATTAGTTTGCTCTTTTTCGATTTCCAACTGTCCATCTTCAAAGTGCACAGCCTGTAGCACACAGGGCCTCAGTTTATTGTCCAATTTGGATGAGTCGAGGCTTTTCCATGTTAGCCCTTCTTCATTACCGACAGGGGTTGAGTGGGAGAGTTTTTCAAAGACAATTGCTCTTTTCTACAGGGAAAACCATTTGACTTTAGCCAAAGTTCAACTTTAGTCAAGGTAAGAGCACTGCATATGGCCCTTTAAATACTAACTTACAATTCAGTTTCACTTTTATAAACAACATTGATAAAATTAGCAGGTTCAATATTCAACTCTAATTGTGCATTCTCCAAATTTCTTTCAAAAACTTCTACACTTCCAATATTAAACCAAACGGTTGTCTGAAAAGAATAATAAAATCTATGGTAGAACTACAAACACCTAGTGGTACTTCTCTCTAGAGGAGTCCACTTCTATACAACTTTTCTCTCGATTTTGCCATACTTTGGACAAGATTTTGATTAATGGAGCTGTCTTGCCTGTATTGATCTTTAATGCAAAGTAAGTGAACAAATTTAATATCTCAAGTGAAATAGCTCAGTTGGTAGCAAGTTGGATTGTCGTCTGCAAGGAGAAGTCAATGGATTTCAGATGAATTTTGCGTATTTATACTTATAGGGTTTAATTTTCAACTTACATGACTATCTGCACCAGGTAAAAACTTAACTTTAACCCATTGTGTATTTACAACTTCTAATCTTTCCACCTAAAATATTGTAAATCAATCAGTCAAGGCAACTATCTTTGGAGAAATTTTAGGAAATCAACCTAAAGCGCATTAATCATTCATTGAAAGATTGGTATTAAAACACTATTGCAAGATCTCACTTCTACCAAGCCTACATCATATCATGTTCCACCAGAATATAATAAATACATGTATTACAGAAAAACAACGGACATAACACAACCAGAATTATCCATGTTTTAGAGTTAAAAATCTTTATTTGCCATAGAAAAGACAGTGAACAGTGAAATTGCTAGTTGAGTCATTTTTGAAAGAATTGTGCAGTTTTTGTACATTTCTAATACTTCGGAAGACTATTTGCATATATTCAAGACCAAAATCAACCCCTGAAAATGGCAAACCTGTCCCTTTAAGTAACCATGTTTCAAATTTACATATATACTTACATTGCCACTATTGAGATAATTGTTGAGAAATTCTTTCCATGTAATTTCTTTATACATTCCTTCATAATAAGAATAGGTTACAATGGCAGTGAAAGTCAAGGCAGTAGCTATAAGATATCTTGTATTTGGATCATTTAATGGATTACCCCCTCCACCACTACAAACAAAAAATAATCACATTGATAGAAACAACTATTTTTTTAAAAGGATAACAATTTCAGTTCAGGAGGGTCATTAACTCCCAGCTGATCCTTGGTCAAAGCTCTTGGCATTAATATTTCCTAGAATGTCCACACTCATTTACAGGACTAGGAATTTTTTACAAACTTTTAAATTAAATTGTATTGTAATCCTAGGACCAAGTGAGACAAAATTCATGTGACAAAAGCAGCATGCGCCATGTTTATTTTGAGCAATGTCCATCGCAAGCGGCTTATGAAAACACGAACAAATAACAAAGTTTTCTGTTTTCATAAGACAAAATTTTGTTGTCTGCAACTGGCTTAAACTTACCTCCCTCCTCCTCCTCCAGAACCAAACTTCATTGTAATTTTAAACGGTTTAAAATCTGAAAAGTAAAAATCAAAAGAAATTATCAAACTAAGCTTAAATTCCATTCAATAGTTTTGTACAATTCTTCGTCCCTTTAGAACATCTCAAAATAATTCTTATTACACCATTACCTTCATTTTTTGTAGGATCAGGCTCCACAGGTTTGGGATTTTTGGGTTGTTTAGGAGGTGGTGGTGTTGGTTTTTTCAGTTTTTCTGCAAACTTCTCCCAGCCTTTTTCGGATCTGAGAATTGATAATTCTTTCACTAAGTCATCAATACTAGAACCAGTCCATCTTTTAAATAAGTGCAGACCCCTCTGTATCTATAACAAATTAAACAACATAGTACTAAGCACAGGCCAAAGTACGGCTAAGCTTACAGAATACAATTAACAAGAATAGCAAACCAGTTAGGCCAGTCATGGAATTTTAATTAAGCTTATAAAAGCCAGATGCTTGTCCTTTTCAGAAGTCAATCAATGTGACAGCTTATAATATATTTCATATTTTCCCACTCCTTGGAGGATACCAAATAAACAGACGGTAAGTAGGTGTTGACATTGATGGAATGTAGTGTGGACATGTCATTTCGATTTCAATTTGGCCATAAAGCTTGTCTTCAAAGTGCATAAAAACTTGGCCTAGCCTACCAACAGTAGGCCTTATAAAGGGTAGGTAGGCCTAATAAGTAATATTCAATATTGTTATGTAATGCCTAAAAATATACGGTACAAATTTGACTATAGATTTTCATTGCTTCAATTTTAAGGACAAGCTTAGGAAAGACAGTATGAGTTAATTATTCAATTAATTATTACATCATTCATCATTAGACCTATCCTATGGAAATCATAATCTTGTTATGTTATGATTATTATTATTTATCAAATTCAAACCTGAAAATGAAAAAGCAAAAAAGTACAGGTACCTCAACAGGTGTTGATCTAGCCGAAATTAGTCTCTGGAATAGTCGTTCACCCTTTCGTGCAATTAAGCTATATCTGTAAGCCATTTTTCAAAGAGTATTCTTCGGGGTTAAACTTTCATCAGCCAAGTAGAAAAGCAAAGTTACGAAACGGCCTTCATCGTATAAATGGGCAATACGTACTCCGCAGAAAGAAAATCGCAATAAAAATAAGATTATGTAAATTGTCCGAAGTTGTCCGTGGAGTAAATTTTGTTTGAGTTCATCCGAATTAGTTTTATTCCATTTCTGGACGTAAATTTTTGGTCTTGTTGGAATTTGGAGTTTTCAGTTTTTATTGTTCTGGGGAACACCTTTTAAATTTGTAGCATGCAGTAGAGCTATAAATATTGAGTACCCAAAGGAGAAAACTTCGGATTATTAGTGTGGTGTAATTTATTGTATCTTGAACACGTATATATAAAGCTATTATTAACATTTACGTACTTATTTTCGCTCGACAAATTAAAATAACGACGCGTTCATTTTCAAATATATATACTGTAGCATTGTTTATTTGCAATGTTTAGATTTCATAAGAATAAAAAAGAAACAAGGAAAAAACCCGAAGAAAGAATTCGAAAATGAATCAATAATAAATCTGTACCGTTTCCGGTTTGCAATCTTAAGCACGTGTGTTTGTTTACAATATTAATATATCCACGAAAATGTCAGTGAAAAAGGACACTTTAACTTATTACGATCGTGTAATAGTTACACTCCAGTCTGGCTTTTCAAACGACGAAGACAAAGGTACGTCATCTGTTGTCACGTTTATATTTACCCTAGCCCCCCTCCCCCACCCTCTTTTTCCTGACACTTGGTTGGAGCCTCGGTGGCACAGTGAGTATTTTGACCGTATTTCTGTCCTGTCAGTGAAGGACTCGCATGGAAAAGGTCTGGTCAATCCCATTGGAAATAAACTGAAACCCTATCAGCCACAGGCTGTGCACTAAAAAAAGAGTAGGCTTATGCCGCTGTCCTGGCAAAATTTCCCTCATTGCACACTGCATATCTCTTCTTCAACTGATTAGGATCAGAAAAGTAGCATCTATTACTCCTTTTTTTCAGTTTTGGCCTCTGTTGGCTCTGCTCTATGTCTCTGACCTATCTAGTCTCTGTCCGTAGGGTTGACATTATCATTATTATCTACAGTCTTAGTGGTATTGTAGGCCTATTGGCCAAGTTAAGGATTTTACAATTGAAAACAAATTCCTTGAAAATGATCCAGGTTATAGATTTTCAAATGGTACTTTTTTCTGTATTATATTTCAGAGCTATTTTTGAACAATGTTTTGGAACAGTTTTCTCAAGAAGCAAGTGAAGTGTGTAAAGACTATTCTATAAGTGTTTGTTTAGAAGAATTATTACGCCAATGTTCACAACATCATCTGGTTTTATTCTTTTCCCATATCTCCAACTCTTTGTCCACCTTGATTCAACATAAAATAGCTAGTCATGTGGTTCAACAGCTTCTAACAAGACTTACTGCCTTGTTGGCAGATACAACGGAAGATCAAATTGAAACAATTATGGATAATAATAATGATGAAGATGATGGCAGTAGTGACAATGATGATGATGATGATGATGATGACACAAAGAACTGTAAAGTGATCAAGATATTTTTAGGGTTATGTAAATACTGTTTAAAGAATATGAAAGTCTGTTTTGAGAATCAGTATTGTTGTCAGGTATTAAGAACTATGTTAGAGATCATCGGTGGTGTAGACAAATATCATTGTGTAGAACGAAGAAAACTTCACAAACAAAAGAAAGGAAAAGGCAAGAGCGAAGGTATGTTTGAGTAGTTCTTTCTAAATACTTGGGAATATTTTGTGTTAAAGGGACAGGTGTGTCCCATTTTTTTTTTTGACCAATCGTACCTTAGCCTCAGAAACAAGGAATTTTTTAGCTAAGCTAATCAGTAATAGTGTTTATAACTCACCATTGTAATTTGAGCCTTCAAATCCATTTGTGTGAAGACTATTTACATACATTCAAGACCCCCAAAAATGGTGCATCTGTCTCCTTAAATGTGTAAAATTTCATCACTTTTTTTTAGTCATAATTTTCTTTAATTTTCCTTAGTGATTCTTCAGTGATACTGACTGCATATTCAGTTAAAATGCAATAAGGGTAATTTTTTTATGACAGCATTAGTCTAGTCGTGTCGCTAGGATGGAACCCCAGAATCTTTGGTAGCGAACAAGTTTCATGCTTGATGAGCCCTCTTTGCTCCCCTTCTTATTTTAGAAACTGTTAATGAAAACAATATTTTACTGATTTCAGTGATTGTAAATGCAGATATTTAATTTTGAAATTTTTATGTTTTATTGCAGTAAGTGAAGTGAATATTGAAGTACCATTATCAACAAGAATGAAGTTAAAAAGATTATATAAAGCAGTTACATGTAAAATTACTAGCAAAATATATAAACATTTTAAAAATATGAGTAAGTACTGGTACCAGTTTTTTATATGTTTTGATTAAAGAGACCGGTTTGCCATGCATTTGACAAATTGTACTTTAGTCTTAGAAAAGGGATTTTGGCTAATTTAATTTAGTGTCCATAAGCTTAGCTTACCCTTTAAATAATAACTTAAGGTACCTATCTTATATCATTTAAATTATACCCTGATATGGGCGTATGCAGTACATTGCTGTTGCCCTTGCCCACCAGATTTTGATTGTCGAGACCTTTAGTAGGTTCACAGTTGCCCATTTTTTATTGTTGTTTCTTTAGTAGTTATTGCCCTTGACAAAGTGGTCTCTATCCCCTAATTTGTACAGAAATTATTTTTTTAAACCTTTTTCTTTTAGCTTATATTAGTAATCATATAAATTTATTGCTGCAAACATCATTGAAGATAGAATATGATTTGGATCCAGCTTTATGTAATAAACATTGTCGTAAACTAGCTGTTGTGTTAGGTTTAGATGAACCTATATCTGAAGATAGGTGAGTTATTGTATGATTAACCTATATCTGATTCTTGGTGAGTTATTGTATGATAGACCTAGATCTGATGCTAGGTGAGTTATTGTATGAAAAATCTTTATCTAATGCTAGGTGAGTTATTGTATGATAAACCTAGATCTGATGCTAGGTGAGTTATTGTATGATAAACCTAGATCTGATGCTAGGCAAGTTATTGTATGATAAACCTAGATCTGATACTAGGCAAGTTATTGTATGATAGACCTATATCTGATGCTAGGTGAGTTATTGTATGAAAAATCATTATCTAATGCTAGATGAGTTATTGTATAATAAACCTAGATCTGATGCTAGGTGAGTTATTGTATGATAAATCTATATCTGATGCAAGGTGAGTTATTGTATGATAGACCTATATCTGATGATAGGTGAGTTATTGTATGATAAACCTATATCTGATGCAAGGTGAGTTATTGTATGATAGACCTATATCTGATGATAGGTGAGTTATTGTATGATTAACCTATATCTGATTCTTGGTGAGTTATTGTATGATAGACCTATATCTGATGCAAGGTGAGTTATTGTATGATAGACCTATATCTGATGATAGGTGAGTTATTGTATGATAAACCTATATCTGATGCAAGGTGAGTTATTGTATGATAGACCTATATCTGATGATAGGTGAGTTATTGTATGATTAACCTATATCTGATTCTTGGTGAGTTATTGTTTGATAGACCTATATCTGATGCTAGGTGAGTTATTGTATAATAAACCTAGATATGATGCTAGGTGAGTTATTGTATGATAAACCTAGATATGATGCTAGGTGAGTTATTGTATGATTAACCTATATCTGATGCTAGGTGAGTTTTTGTATAATAAACCTAGATCTGATGCCAGGTGAGTCATTGTATGATTAACCTATAACTGATGCTAGGTGAGTTATTGTATGATAGACCTATATCTGATGCTAGGTGAGTTATTGTATGATTAACCTATATCTGATGCCAGGTGAGTCATTGTATGATTAACCTATAACTGATGCTAGGTGAGTTATTGTATGATAGACCTATATCTGATGCAAGGTGAGTTATTGTATGCTAAATCTATATCTGATGCTAAGTGAGTTATTGTATGATAGGCCTATATCTGATGCTAGGCAAGTTATTGTATGATAAACCTAGATCTAATGCTAGGTGAATAATTGTATAATAAACCTAGATCTGATGCTAGGTGAGTTATTGTATAATAAACCTAGATCTGATGCTAGGTGAGTTATTGTATGATAAATCTTTATCTAATGCTAGGTGAGTTATTGTATAATAAACCTAGATCTGATGCTAGGTGAGTTATTGTATGATAAACCTATATCTGATGATTTCCTTTCAACACGATGATATGCCTCTAAAAAAAAAAAATGATCACTTATCACACAGCGGCTTTTGTGATGAAGCATATTTTTTGATTGTTGACGTCATCAAACTCTTAGTTTTAGTGGAATTTTTTCAGCTTACCAACAATGTTTGAAAATACAGATCAACAATTTCTGTTTGAAACTATTATTCAATGTGCTGGGGATGAGTTATCTGAAGAAATATATAAGAAATTATTTCAACATAGATTACTTAAGTTTGCTCTTCATAAAAGGGCTAATTACAGCCTCAAGGCTATGATTAATTGTATCAAACAGGAACAAGTAAGTTTTTTTAATAATTTGAGATATATGCTCTCAATGAGATTTATTGTTGTTTTAAGATGTGCCATTTTGGGGTTGATTTGAATATAAATAGTCTTCAGAATTACTAGAAATGTATGGAAATTGCATCATTCCTTCAAAAATATCTCAAAGTTCCATACATGTCTTATCCATATATGATAGAGTAAGTTAACTTTCAAACATGAAAAATTCTGGGTACACATGGATTTGATGACTCAAATTTCGACAGAGAGCTTTAAAGACTATTACTGATAAGCTTAGCAGAAAAATTCCTATCTCTAAGAGAAAGGTATGACCACCATTAATTCGACATAACCAAGCAAATGAAGTCTTACTTATTGTTCTGTTATTCTAGTTTATAGATTTATATGATGAAATAGAAATGAATTTAGAAGAGATAGTTAATAAGAATCCAATGTTTAATATCTGTGATATATTAGCTACAGGATGTTTACAGTTTCGATGTAGTCAAGCTCGCTTTATAAAGGTATGTGTACGAGTTAATTTGCCTTATGCGGAAGTGCGCTGCTGTCGGTCATCAACCCCTTTCATCATGCTTGAGCTTGATAGCTATTCTCAAAGAAATTATCTGAGTATACTGAACTTCTTTTCTTACATGGAAGCTTTTAGCAGATAGCAATCCAACTTGCTACCAGCTTAGCTATTCTACTGCCCAATTAGGAAGAGTTGGACTTAACACACTGCAAAAGTTGTTAACCCTTTCAAGAACAATATTTATAGCAAGGAACACGCAAGAATAAGTGGCATCAGGTTTTTCTTACCTTGAGTAGAATAATCCTGCTAGAATTTAAACACACGGCACAGACGACATTCCATTTCACTAGCACATCCCAACCACGTGCTTGTGGTGCATGTGGAACTTACTTGTATGGAAAGCACTGGTCTGGGTCATTAAATCAGTTAAAGAAACAACTTTCAACATCAATCACCTAAAGAAATACTTGGTTGCTGGGTTACTTTAACCACTGTTGTCATCAGTTGATTATTATACTTTACAGCAATTAACCAACATCTTACATTGTTCTGTACCAGAGGAAAGGAAAATAATGCTAGTACCTTTAATAATAAAATGGCAGAATTATGAAGAGTTTTTTAGTATTCAAAATGAAGAGGTTAGTATAAGAAAGTTCTTTATCTGTTGCCAATAAATCTTACATAGATAGATGATCTCAAGGTATCTCATTGGACCTGCGTAGGCTCAGTTAGGTAGTCAGTGCTGGCTTACCTGAAAGTCTTTGATTCAATCCCAGAATAGGTAGACATTATACCTTGGTTTTCTCCTGCCAGTTATATAGGGGCATTTAGTCATTCAGATGGGAAATAAACAGACCATGTGTGATACAGATCCTATGACAGTTATAGATATAGAACATCCCCCCCTACCCTCTCCAGTTTGTCAGTCTGCGCTGTCACTAATCATTGATATCTTCTCAAATAATGATTTAATTTTCTTTTCACAGGATGCTGAAGAAAGAATATGTATAGATTCTGTACCATTAGATTGTGTTTCTAAAAATGGTTCCTTTCTTTTACAAAAACTCTTTAAATTCGGCAGTAATAAAATGATCATAGATAGTTTGTTAAACATTGAAACAGAAGATTTGTGTCGCCTAGCAACCAGTAAATTAGGAGGTTTTGTTATTCAGGCGTTTTGTGAAAGCAGTACAAATTCTCAGAAAGTTTGTGATGCCTTCTGTGATAAGTTTAAGGTAATGTTAGAGTCAACTATTTGAATAAGTTGATTTTCGTGGGTGCCAAATTTCAGTATTAAATTTATATTAAATAACAAAAATTTATCAGAAAGAAAGCAATTTATTAATATTCATTATCTTTCATTTTGGTTTGGTTATGTTGACAAATGTGACGATTAAGCTTCCTTGTTAAATAGTGCTAATTTGCTTGAAGGCCTACAGAATAAGTAATATTTATGACTCGTGAATTAACCGATTTAAACACAAAGATTAAGATTAATTATATTATATATATAAGATTAAGTATATATTATATATTCATCAGTTGGACTTACTAGGTGCCATGACTAAAGAATAGAATTTCTATATAAGATGATAAATCTATTAAACTAAATGATTATTGATACACTCTTTTAAGCATGTTTCAAAATTATTAGTTTAATGAAATATAACTTATTTTATTGATAGAGGGATTCTGTTTATAGTTATGTAAACATGTAAGTCTGATAAACAAAGACCCATTTTAACCAAGTTTTAAAAATATCAATTTTTTGGTCATCCTCAAGAGTTAGTATATCTTTAACATTGTTTTACAGGGTAGCTTAGCTAAGATAGCTTGTGATCAGTGGGGAAGTAGAGCTATAGAAGATATATATAAATGTGTCTCTACCAATATGAAGTATACCATGGCAGAAGAATTATCTTACTTCTTAAGAAGATTACAGAATGATATTTATGGACATTTTGTGTGTCGAAAATTGGCTTTATATCACTTTCTACATCGTCGAAGTGATTGGCAAGCTATACAGAATAATGACAGTCGTAAACGAAAGTTATTTAAAGATATCATTGGTGATATGGGTATGTACAACTATAGTTAATATGATTAAAATTTCTTTTTTTGTCTCCATTATAATCTAACAAGTTTTCTACCAGAGTCACATTCTAATATAGTTATTTTTTAACCAATCAAGGCGTATCTTGTATGACATCTTTTGAATTGTGGTAAGCTTAACCCATTGAGACTATCATAGTCCTCTTTTTTTTCGAATATTGCTATCTTACAATCTGTCTTACTTTGCAAGAAACGGATCCTACAGGACATGCTTTGATTGGTTAAAAATAACATCAGGATGGAACTGTGGAAGTAAATGCCACCTTAAAGATCCCTTGACAGTTGGAAATTAAAAAATAGCAGGCTAATGCTGCTGACCTGACCAAATTTCCCTCATTGCACCCTGCATGGCATTGCCGGTCTTCATTAGCCCAGATGGTGTAGAAAAATTGGACATAAAACTCCATTCATTTCATTTTCATTTTGTAAGTTTCCAAACATTTTATGTGTATCAGGGGGACTGATGGCATCAATTTGGTGCCTGTGTGTCTTGCAATTCTGCCAAAGTAAAGCGTTTATGATGCAACTATTGCAAAAGCTACTAATATATAAGGACTTACTGAACATGTGTTTGACAATATTTATTTTTATTTGTATAATTAGTTATACCAGAAGAGAAGAAAGAGATATCAAACTCCATTGAGGATGACAGTGATAGTGATACACAGGTATTCAGTCTTTTTTAAACCTTGTTGATACCTACTTAGATCCGAGTTTTGACATAGTTAGGTATGTCTACTCTAAATGTGATCTCCAACTGATTGTTAAATACAAGACAACTCTTGTGAATTTATTGTCCATGCCATGACATCAATATTAGGTAATGCAAACATGAAGATGATAACATTCATTGAATTTAAGGTGGAGCTACTGTGGTTGAGTTGCTCTCTAACCAGAAGGCTTGGGCTCAATCAATCAGCATAAGTCAATTTTTCAACACAGGTCGAAGGGGCTTATTTGAAAAAAGCTTCTGGAACAGTGTTCTGCAGGCTGTGCAGATTAAAGATCCCCAGATAAAAGAATAGACTATTGCCTCTGCAACTTTGCTAATTGCATACTGCATGGTGTTGGCCATCTTCTTGAGCCCAGTCAGGTGCAGAAATGTAGGATTCATTTCATTTTTAATCCCCATCTAGGTAGTAATTTAAATATTATAAATTTGTGATTTTGTCCTTTTTCAGACATCAGTGAAGAAGAAAAAATTTGAAAAACTTAAAAAAGAAAAAACAGTGGAGAAACAGAAAACTTCAAAAGATAAAAATAAGTCGAAAAAAGGAAAGAAAAATAAATGAATATATTAAAATCTACTGTTTGTTTTCAGATAGTGGATCCATTATATAACTTGTAGCTAAATTGCATGTCTGGCAATAGACTATGGGATTGCACACCATAAGCAGTTTATGAAAGCAGTTTATGGTGTCAGTATGCGCCACTGAACACTGAACGATGTTATATTTGCTTGCTGAAAGCAGTTGCCTTTATTCGATTGCAGACGAATGGGTACCTTATTTTCCATCTGAAGGAAGACAGAAATAGTTAAAAGGGCTATTGCACCATTCAACTGCAAATTTGTAAATGGGCAAAAAGGATGAGGGGGGTGTTAATGAAGGTTTGGAAATTCCCCACACCGCAAATTGTCAGAGAAGATCACTGAGTACAAAATGGATTGGTGTTGAACTTTTATTGTAAACAATTTCTCACAAAATAGAAACAAATATTTGGCACTAACGTAATATACTAGTCTAGTTTTGGACTGGCATTCTGTTTCCGATCGAATTGGAAAAAAAAAAATACTGAACATTCTTTGAGATCGGAGATCAACGTGGATTATTTCAAACTTTTACTCCCGTCTCCATTAGCCCACATGTTGTAGAAAAGTAGGACGTAAAACTCCATTCATTTCATTTCAAACTTTTATTAGGTGGAGCCGATTTCTTTGATTCGGCTTTAAAATGAACCATCTTTTTACCGTCATCATTGGACGTTGACAATATTTTAGAAGGAGCAGAGCGTGCGGTGGTTTGCAGCCGTCGTTTTTCAGAAGCTTGTCTTGGTGAACTGCTCTCGGATTTTGCACTCATTGTGCGCGTAGACTTAGGCTGCGTTGTCACTATATCTGTTTGATTTTTGTCTTTTTCTGAAACAGTTTTTATGTTAGTTTTTGTTGAAGGATTGCGGGATACAACCGGAACAAATTCAGATTCCGTAGGTTTTTTCACGAGTATTTTAGGTGGAGATGGTGATCGGAAAGCGTTTTGGGGCTTCTCCTTCATTGGCGAATTAGTTCTTGGGTTAATAGAAGGCGCACTTTTGGATTTATTTAACGGTTTACTTGTAGATGGAACATACAATGGCGTTGGAACTGCGGTTGATGATTTCGTTTCATTTTTTGGTATTGATTTTGGAGTGCTTGGTAATTGGATCGTTTGAGTATCAGTATTGGCAACGCTACCTGCAGATTTAGCGCCATTCATCTGAGATTCTACTGGCTTTTTTGTCTCCTGCTTTAATAGGGTAGAGGCCGGTGGAAGAACTGGCACTTTGAGGACGACCGGTATATTTTGTGATGCACTGTTATCGGACAGGTCATCGGCGGACTCTAGGACCATCACATCAGGATCTAAGGGCACTTGTAATGTAGATACGGTGGTGTTTTTGCTTAAGTCTTTTTGAGGTATAGTATCTGGGATATCTATAAAGGCGACTTTTAGACCTTGTTTTTCACCTCTTACATCAATGCCACCTTTTTCAACTATGTCGGCGCTAATTTGAGAATTTCGCTTTGATTTGGCAGACCATATACGGATGACTCTTGAAACCCTTTGAGCTTTGGATGCCGGGTTAACTGGCTCTCCCCTCTTTGGAAATGCCATAACAGCCAGTCTGGCACGAATTAATTTTCTAGTGTGTTCACTGATATCGCTGGCATCGTCGCTTAACGTCGATCGGTCGTAACAAAAGTCCACTATTTTAGCCACGATTAAAGAAATCACCAAGGCCCCGAATAAAATACCCAGTGTTATAAACGCTTTACTCAAATCACTACTACCATCATCTGAAATAACAAATAATTAAAGTTAAACTTTGAAAATGAATTGAAATATTTAAACAGTACCTGAAATCTACTAGAGTATCAAAATGTTTCAGGTTCTGATTTAGTATTTCTATAAAATAAAGGGCACTATTTTTACAGTGAAAATATTTTTTTACTTTAAAATATGAGTTGGATGAACATTGTCTATTTATACACAGACTCGTTCGTTCACGTGAAACGTTTGGGATAATTATGCATTATATTGAAATAGGGCTATTGCTTTTGTCGTCAAGTATTATTCATCCAAACTTATTAATAAAATATTATTGAATAAATATATCTATTTAAAGGGACAGTTGCGCCATTTTGTAGGGTTGATTTGGGTGTTGAATATTATGTAAATAGTCTTCAAAGGTACTAGAAACGTAAGAAAAGCGCACAATTCCTTTAAAAATACTTCAAACTGGGAATTTCACTCACTTACGAGTCATTTTTTATCTTTCAAACGTGGCTACATCTGGACACACGTAGATTTGAAGGCTCAAATTTTGACGGTGAGCTGTGAACATTGTTTCTGATTAGCTTAGGTTATAAAATTCTCGTTTCTGAGACAAAGTACGATTGGTCCCTGTAACACTGGAGTTCGCCAGTTGGCACTCTTTGATAGCACTCTTAATTCATAACACGGTTTGATACTATTACTGCTATTCAAAATGACTTACCCTGACAAAGCACCGCTGGTAACTGGAGTATTAAAAGGAGTTTTAATATCATATCCATTTTCTATCCTAAACCGTCACGTTATATACCGTGACATATAAATTGGAAGAAAGACTTCTTGGTAAATTGGCTTAAAATATCATTTGCCCATATCTATCCTTCTAATCTCACTTTTAAATGTCACTTGGTGTATTTCTTATAAGGTAGTTCCATCTTCCATACAAAAAAATTTAATTAATCCTTCAAAACAACCACATCTTTTTTTCCCATGTATCTAGATTGTTTGTTCTAAAAATATCATTCGAACGTCACCGATCTTAGATATTCCTCACAAATTTCACAGTTTGGAAGTCGTATTTCCTCATATTGCGTTGAATTAATCGATAGTTGAAACAATCCATTGCATTCGCTCGGCTAACTGCTTTAGGGAATGTCAAGTCAATGCACTTGAAAAAAAAATGGCGTTTCTATGTCAAAGACATGTCTATGCCTATGACCTATGTCAATACCTTCACAATAATTATGTATGTGTCATTTCAATTAGAATACAATATCCACCTTAGTGTGGATTAGGCTTTATGTCGAATATAATAAATAGGTAAATCTTTTATCATGGTTACCAATTGAATGGTATATAGAAATCAATAAAGCATGTCTTATACAAGACCATACCATATATTAGACTTAAATACCCCTCGTGACTACACCACCAAACGTGAATACAGCAAATTACAAGGGATTATCTCGTATAGGATTATCTCTTTGCCAATTGTGATTAACTTGGATTAATATGATGAAAACACCATTACCCAAAATCCTTATTTAATTCAGATGTCAAACTTTTTCTTAACAAAATTAGAGGGGGGGGGGGGGATCTGGGATGATGAAAATGGGACGAAAAATCGGAAAAATATACCTAACTGAATCTTTCAATCGACTTTCAAGATAAGTTTATCCGAGATCATGAGGGAGGCTGAAAAGTTCACAGGCTGACTCGGAAGAGGTTATGCCACGGCAATGAAGCTTGGTATACATTAAATTCAACACTTCTGCTAACGGCTAAACGGCATTGTTTCTTTTCAGTTAAACTGAGACTGAGACACCACATTTGTCTTCTTTGGAGGGGCAGAAAGGGGGTGCATTGTCTCGAAGTGGTTGATCCAACACTCATCTGTGGTGAAGAAACCGACTGGATCGGCTTCAAAAAGTGCCAGAGACCGGTCATTGCATGTGGCGTCTCTGGTTCTACGTTTCAAATCCTTAATTTATTATTTTTTTTTAAGTTTATATATGTAAGTATAGACGGCGTTGACAAAATCATACTGAGTGAACAGCCATTGGGGATATTCATTCATATACTCAGGTACGTTACACACAGTTCTGCTGCAGTTGGGTGTGGTGTTGGATCTTATTCCACAGTTTTTCAATGGAATTCAAATTCTGTCTAAGGGCAATCTAATTCATGATTATATTTGGATATTGCGACACGGGATGATGTCATGCTGAACGGACACTGACGACAGACTGGTGATTGCCAATGGTTTGCCCAAAAATCACCCCCTTAATGCGCCACTGGGTGCTATAAGTGACAAGCTTCTGATAATTCCTCAATAGCTATTTGGTCACAATAAATTGATCACGTCAGTACGTCAATAAGTTCGCCACAACGTCAGTGAGTTCGCCACAGTTCGCCACTCTGTCACTGGAGTCCATCAATACGTCGGTCAGTTACATGATTATTATGATCTCGGTTCAGTAAAATAGTCATAAGAGTTATACCCAAATTTCGGCGAAGAATTAATCTTATAATCAATTAACAAATTATGTAGAACCAATAATTAAACCATTATAACTATTTTTTACTATTGAAAAAGCAAACTGAATAATAGAGTAACAAATTTAATATATGTATTATATAGTTGCACCATAATAAATAATTAACAATGGACGGACTACAGAACAAATCACAACAAATATAGTTACAACCAAATACAATAATATAGATACCTATAATTTATCAAAGTGGCAAAAATCACTGGTGGTTTCCTAACGTTTCAATGTTGTGTCCGTTGACAGTGGCTAACAAGCATGTTATGAAATGCAAGTAAGGATGTAAATTCACGAGTTTTACCTGATGGGCCTTTTGTACACTTTCCTATTGAAGAGTGGATATCTACATCTGATGTAAAGGGGATGACTTCGATTGGATCCTGGGTTAGACTCGAGTCACTCCCGAACTTTAATATTTTCTAGAGTTGAAACTCGTGTGATGTAATATTTGACCTAGCTAGAAGCTCGGGTCGGACACCCACTATTTGGAGAGTCAAACACGAATTAACATGGTAGCATGGAATGTCTATATATGGTCAAAAGTCTGCCATATTGCCTTAACTTGATCAAATTGATTGCAACCCTCACTCGGCATGCCCACTGAAGATAATTACGTCATTTCTGCATCTAACTTGACCACAGAGGTTCAATCAAAGTCACCCAAGGATAGTCAAGTCTGCAGTTTTTGTAGTGATTAGGCACCATACCAGGTACTTCATGGGGCCTAAGCATAAAAGGGATATTCTTATCAGGTTGAAGATCAACAGTAGGGGGATGAGATATTTATTCTAGACTTTGTAACTGTTTAGCTTTAGCTATTGGTGGTAATGAGGAACCATGATCTAATTGAGATGTAGGTAAGGGTTCCAATGTAGCTGGTCTTGGTAAATACATATCCTGAACTTTAGGATTGAAAGGATCTGGTGTTTCAGATAAGCTGGTATCAGCACGAGACATCATGGTATCAGATCTAGTGCCTAGTAATAAATCACCAGTATCTGGCATTTTGGACGGTATATCTGGAGTAGGAGCTATGCTTGGATCTACTGCTGAAGATGTTGTTGGTCTGACTATAGGAGCATATACAGGTTCATCTTTAACTTCTTTAGGGACACTTGGTGCATTGTCCTGCTCTGACGGTTTCCATACTAAGTTCTCACCAACTTGAAGAGCTGGTGCCAGTTTTGATGCCATGTCCAATAACTAAAATGAGAAAATTAGCATAAACTAAATAATACAATACAATTTGTGTTTACAAGATTCTAAAAACCAAATCATTTGCAGGTGTCCCATAAAGGTAATTTGCCACATGAAAAGAGAGAAGGAGAGAATCTAAATCCTCCAACCAGTTGATCTTGACAAAAAAAAACATACCTCTTGATCCACACTGGGCAAAGCTTTAATATTTTGTCCAAATATAGTGAGATATTTACTAGCTAACTTCTTATCACCACAATTATATAAAAATACAGCATAATTCAATGGTATGGTGGCATCTTTTCTGTAATAAAAAAAATTAACATGTAAGATATTTAATCATGAAAGTCAAGAAGGTCAAAATTTTGTCAAAATATGATAAAGACTGCAGTCTAATTAAACCATTTGTTAATTTTTTTTATTAGCTTTTTTTTTTAATAAAACCAATTCAGTTAGGGTCTAAAGACAGCCATCTTAAACACTTGTCAAATCAACCTTTTGACCTAACCTAACAATCACAAAATTCCAGTCCTGGAACGATAGAAATTTGATTTAATGCTGATGTCATTGAGGTCAAAAGGTGAATTTGATGATAGTTCAAGAGGGCTGTCATTAGACCTTAACTGAAGTGGCTATATGAAAAATAAAAAAAAATGGTTCGAAATTTAAGAAAGCTTATGTTCAAGAAGAGTGGTATTGTCCTACCATGCTAGCAACACCAGGTAGAGTAATCTGGGGAGGATGAAATTTTGGGTAGCTTGTATAATTGCAATACTTACTGGTCTAAAGACAAAGCTTGTTCATAGGCTTGTTTAGCATTATCTGGATCTTCTAAGTTGGTTAAAGCAACTAAAATCATAAAACAGAACAATTTCAATAATGAACAGAATCTAATAAGTTTATTCTGTCAATTTTAATATAAAAGGCCACTGTACAATCAAGAAAATAGACAAAAAACATTTCAATTCCTAAATATTCCAGTAGCCTTAACATGTAACTGCTAATTTGAAAAGGAGAATGTTTTAACCATTAAAACACCATTAAGAAAATCTCCTGAATTCAAATCCCTAGTTGATGATATTCCATATAACTTCAGTTTGACTCTAATAAAGAATGAACGGTTAATGGTGGTGCTCAATCAGAGAGTTCCATCTGTTCAAAATTTTCCCATCTATTTCCATTGCCCCCAGTTTGAATTCTGTCACCACCCACTATGGAATGTGTTCTGAACTCTTTTCCAATTGGTTTCCATGAATCCCAAATGTGCAGACCTCAGCCATCGAGTCGACCCCATTTTATTTCAACATAAGGGGAGATAAGAATCCATATTATATATACAAGTCAGAAAAAAGGTTTATCTTACCACCCAGTAACATAAATAAGTGAGCCATTTTGGGTTTGAAATTAATAGCTGCACTGAGGAAATGGAAAGCTGAAGCATGCTGCTGCATTGACAGATGAACTAATCCAAGATTATATAATATCTTCCAATCAAATGGTGCTAGATAGTTAGCTCTCTTTAAACAGCTGATAGCCTAAAATAAAGACATAAGCCATTTTCAGTTGTTTGTGTCAAATTCAATCAAAAATGTATTTCAGTTAAAGGTGGCAGTGAAATAGTTGTATTGTTGTCTGCTAGGCCAGGGTGCCAAGAGTTCAAATCCTCCCCAAAGTAAAAAATGGCGAGTGTTTCTGAAAGTATTCCCTGAGTGAGTTTTCAACCTCTAATATCTTCCTATTGATAAGTCTCATTACGTTGGATTATCAGTCAAAGGAGTTATCCCCCTTTTCTACCATAGTTTGGGCTTACGAGAAAAAAAAATATTGCAACTTTCAACTGTATCCAGTCTGTAACACACAAGGCCTGGCTTAACTGTTCTATCTGAACAACTAGCCGCCTTGTCCCTTGTATGTTCCTCCCAGCATCACTGACAGGTTGAAGTTGAAAAATAATCTCTTGACCTGGGCCTGCAGGAAAGCAAGCAAATGACTCACTAAGTGATGGGAACCCTATTTTGCCGTTAAGCTTTCCTGAGGCACTTTGAAAAAACTCTTTTCCATTTAGTAAAGAAAACAGACTTCAATAAAAATGAAGCTTTACTTACGGCCACATATTTTTTCTTGCCGAAAAAACACATTCCAATATTATTCCATAATGGAGGATTCTCAGGCGTATTGACAGCTGCTATTCTATATTTAGTTAACGCTACATCCCAGTCACCATGTCCTTGCATCATACTTCCTGCTGCCATTATAGCTTTAGTGTGTTGAGGGTTAAAGGTCAATGCATTTCCCAAATTCTCAAAAGCCTTCTGATATTGATTAACCTGGAAAATTCGATTTCATTTTTAAAGAATGTATTAATGATTCAAATAGAAAGACTCTGGAAAGTGTATTGTTATCATATTAAAGGGATTCTAAACTTGTATAAGCGTGTACTGATAGCATCAATTCCACTAAAACTAAGTGTTTGATGATGTCACTAATCTAAAAATGTACTTTATCACATGAGGCCCTTCGCAATTAGTGAAGTCATCTAACGCTTAGTTTAAGTGGAATTGCAGGAACAACATATGTCTGAAAATTAAATATAATAAATTTACCTGCATGTATAGTAAACCTAGTGTTGTCAGGAGATCAGGAGATTCTGGAGAAAATCTGAAATGCAATATAATGGTTAATATATAGTAAGTATTCCAAAAGTATCTGGGACATATATAGTTGCTTTTTACCTGCCCCCTTGGGAATTTGCTCAGCATCTATGGGTCCTTTTATTAACTATAAAATGGAGGCAAATGAGACAAAGGGCTTACTTTTGAAACAAAGACCAAACTTTAGAAGTCTTCATTTGCAATTACTTATTTCAAATCCTTCCAATTCGCCCTTCTGTCTCATATTAACTCAGATTGTGTTAGAGTCTTGGCTATGAGAGACTCTAACATACATGCATAGTCATTAGAATCCCTTTAGAGATAACCATTTGCATTGAAACTAAACAGAACTGCTTAGGCCAGCAGAAGCAATAACAATTGATTTTACTGACCTTTATCACCTCCCAAAACAGAAGATCAAGTAAATAATTACTTACTCTACAGCACTTTTATATACTTCAATAGCTGAATTCATGTCACCATCCATAAGATGTAACTTGCCTAACATAATATAGGTTATATCATGTCTCCTTATTTCCAATGCCTGTTTAAAGCATTCCTTGGCCTGAAAATATATTTCATTTAAAATCTATGTGCCTTGGTTTATTAAGAATGATAAGGTTACCAATGCAAACCTTCAATGGATTGTAAAGAAGTTTTCTAAATTTTTTATGTGTATCAGGGACACTGATAGCGTCAATTTTCAATCAGACGTCTGTGATTCCTGCAATTCAACTGAAACTAAGCGTTTTATGACATCCTTTACATATTTTTTTGTGATAAGCATATTTTGTGATTAGTGACGTCATCAAAAACTTAGTTTTGGTGAAATTGTAGAAACCACAGAAGTCTTTACATTCCCTTTAATTAATTTATTACCGTATGTGATATTTATACCTAAGAGATTACAATTTTAATAGTCTGTTTATAAGCTTACTTCATATGCAACAATAATCTGAAATAATCGGTTCCGGCTGCAGCTCAGACAGTTTAAGAAATTATATTTGCAACGAAAAATCTATTTATACTTTAATAATATACAAAGTGATAGTGAAAATTATATATTTCAATTCCAACTATATGGAAGATATCAATGTTTACAGGCTTGACAGCAATAGAATTGAATTCAGCTTTATCCAATATTTTGACTAACCTAAATATAACAGAATCTGAATCTTACCTTAACATAATCTTTCAGATACATATAACATACTCCTAAATTATGGCAGATTTCCTATAAGAATAACACATTTGCAAACATACAAGTTTGATACATTTTCTACTGTTTGAAAATATGAGCATTAAAGAAATTTACAAACAATATACAGAATAACACAATAATAATATTCTGACAAAATAGTGCTTAATACATCAATTGTAGAGTGATATTGAAATATTAAAATAGTGCTCAATACATCAATTGTAGAGTGATATTGAAATACACAGTTAAAATAGTGCTCAATACATCAATTGCATAGTGATATAGAAATATTAAAACAGAACTTAAAAAATCATGTTGTTACTCGCTATGCGATCTTCAGACAACTGACCTATTTCAGTCTGGGTCCCTACAACACATACATTTAGTTTAAATCATAATCTTTTTCTCAAATTTTAGTATGGTAAAAAAAAATATGAAATTACCCAATCTTTAGGATTAATAGTCGCAGCCTCCATATAAATATCTATAGCTGCTTTATGGCGTGCTAGTAGAAACCTGAAATTTGGAGTTTCAGTCAAAATTAAATTGAAAATGTAGGGTGACTTAGCAATATATAATTCTTTGTGTGTGTGAACACAAATCTATTGGTTTATGCACATAAAGGGACCGTAAGCCGATAGACATTCAAAGGTTATCACATAAGGACAAATTTACACTATATTAACAGCCACACTGACTATTGTAATCAAAACACTAATCTGCATATTCTAAAGTAAAACAGCACTTACAATGATCTAGCTACTTGTTTTAAATTTTCTCCACTATTAGGATTGAGTAAAGTACATGTTTGAAATAACTCTAATGATTCTTGTATCTTCCCCTCTTGACGATATATTAAAGCTGAAAAATATCAAGTATGGATTGGATACATAAGTCTGTGGACATCCATTAAAAGTAACAGGATAACTGGTTAGTTAAAATAGTGCCCAAGACATCAATAGTGCATCGATAGAGAAATATAGATGTACACATTAAAACAGTAAAGTTACTAACAGATATATATTTTGGAATAAAATATTGATTGAATTATACCTTGAACATAGACAGCATATTCACACATGCCACCACATTCAGCAAGTTGTTCTTTTATTAGTACTTTACAAGTTGTAAAATCTTTCTGAACATAGTGTAAATGTATCAACCAATTTCTTCTTTCATATACTGGTAACTCGGGTGCTGAAAAAAATAGATCATATCCTATTGGTTACCTCTGAATTAGGAATTACAACTTGCACATTTGGTATATATTTAAAGGGACTGTTCAAATGGTTTATACACTTTACATGTGAGTCAGGCACACTTATAGCTTCCATTTGCACTAATCTGATTTATGATTAGATTATGAGCTCACTGCAAATTCCATTTAAGTCAAATGAAGGTTTTGTATCATATTTGGTCAAGTTTTTCTAGAATTACAGAATCTAGAATTGCTGAAATACAACTGTTTAATGCTTGGTTTACCTTTCTTAGGTTTAGGTTTAGGTGCAGCTGGTAGTTGAGGAATAGACTGAGCTTTACTCTCCTTCTCATTCTCATTCTAAATATAAGTCAATATATCAAAAGATTATTAGAAAACAAATTCCATTTTAGAATTATCGATAAACAAAATCTATATTTTATCTAGTTGCAATATTGATTGTTTTTTTTATAGGTTTACAGGAAGACTGGATTCATTCCAATCCAAATTTGATTTTATTCTATATAGGGCTGCAGAGGGAGTTTTTATTTCAACACATATAAGTAAATAATGAGATTTCTATTTGGCCTTCCATATTATTTGCCTTCGACAAAATAACCGGAGGTGCATACCAGAATGGTGCTAGAAGTACGGTACCGGTATTCAATATCATAAAAAAATACCCGACCTCAGCCTGTATCCAGCTCAGGAACTGAGAGCGGGACAGTAAGGTGAAACAGGGAGGATATCTTTAATGCAGCCAATCAAAAGGTGGGCAAAATGTATTTTTAAAGAGTTAATCATGCATTATTTTCAAGACTAAATCAAAAATTTACTGTAATATTTTCATTATTGTTGTTTACGGCAGCCATCTTGTATCTAGAAACCAGAAAAAGAGAAGATTTTCATTGGCTGAAATGAATTTAATCCGAAAGTTCTTTAAAATTTTCTTTCTTTCAATTTTTGATGACATTCAAATTCTCTCATTAATGGATTTTTTTCTTATAGAGAACTTGGATGTTATGAAGCAGTTTTACAAAACAAAATGGATGTGTTGAAGGTTAAAGATTAATTCAAATTGTTTCGGATTAAAGATTAGATAACTTTGCAGACGGGCACCTGCTTTGATAGGTGGCGCTTCTTCAACAATAATAACCTGTCAATAGCAAAATGTGTGGTCACTGTTTGGTCGTCTGCTAAACATTATGGATACTATTTATACTAACAGTAGGCTTATGTGATAATGTGGAAGCATACGATCTGAAGTAAAGCATGGAGGTGAGGGTTATAATTTTTTAAAAATTTTAACTGCTTATCTGATTATTTCTTTCATCAAATGCATTTTTGATTTGGTTAAGGCTAGGCCTAATATGTTATACAAAGTATTACTTTGTATGCAATGAAATTTAGAACTGCAAAAAAAATTTTTTCGGCTGTCAGATTTAAAATTCCGGTGCATTATTGTATTGACATGTCAGTAAGGTACTGTCACAATCTTGCACACCGTGTTTTTATGACCATGAAGTTAAATTTTTCCTACTATTTTAGAAAATAATATTGACACCTTTAATTTTGATTGGAAAGTTTTTAACTGATGGAAGTAATGTAAATTTTAATGGTGATGAATGGGCCTAGGTTTAAAAAATGTCAGGAATTGCAATACATTTTAGGCCTTAAAGATTTTTTACGAAAAATTCATGAAATAGGAATATTTTTTAAGTGTCTTTGAATAAATAATTCCTTGTTTTGCCCATGTCATATATTGTGAAAGCTCAGTCTTTTTTAATTTGTCATTTCTTTGCATGATCTGAACCATCCAACATTTTCCGGGGTAATTGTGCCTTTTTACGTGTTGGTGAGTTCTTAACAGTAGGAAAGGTTTAGGTTTCAGATTATTTAAAGTCAACTACTCATGGATCCTTTCTTTTAAGCCTCTTGGTACTGATCATCCTTGATGATTGTCAATTTTCATAAAATCATCAGTGTCATTTTTCCTTGAATGCAGCACGACAAGAACATACATCTGCATTTTCATATTTCTATTTTCACAAATTTTAACTGTTGCAGTATGTGAATTAAACTAATTGTTAAATTTGAGGTGAAGAATTTATTTGTAATTGCTCTTCCTCAGGGATTATACTATGCTTACAGTCGACTCCTGATTCAATAACATTTTTTTTTTAGTTTGACAGATATATGACTTGTTAGAATCCCACACTTCCTCTAGTAATATTTCAGTACGAACCTAATTCATCTAATTGCTTGCTCTGGGTAGAAGATTTATATATGTGGGGTAGGAAATGCCTTCTTAAGCATCTAAATATGATAAAATCTTTTGCAAAGCTGATGTTTTCCATTTACTCTTATTTCTTCATTCCTTACTGGGATATGTGTTTTTTTTTTAAAATGTAGTGTAACATTTACTATAATAGTCAGGATGTCTTTTGAATTAAATGTAAACTATTTGACGGAGTCAATAATTTACTTCAGACATTTTAGATCAATTGGTAATATAAGAGAAAATAAATTTTCTATTGATGCTTAAGATTTGACTATTAAAGATTGACTTTCGATAAACTTACATCAAAGTGAAAGACAATAAATTGATTATTGATTCCAAAATTGTTTTTGTTTTTCATCTAAAGGAAACTTTAGATTTCCTCAGTCTGGCCATGTTTAAACCAAACATAAATTTTTAAATGTAGTCTTTACACTATTCAATTCTGTCTTTTCTTTAGCCAAAAAGTGCAGAAAAGTTTCATTTCTACATTATTAATGCCCCTACACACTTCTTTAAACAAACGTCCCAAACTTGTTTTGAAATGTAGACCTGAGGATAAGTTTACATGTCAAACTTCAGTAGGGACACAGGCTGAAAATAGGTCAGCTGTCTGAAGATTGCAAATCGTCAAACTCTGAGTAAAGTTCTGTTTTAATATTTATTCATTTCTACATTATTCAATACTCAGAAGACTTATCAACTGGAATAGATGAAAATGGTGCCACAATCTGGCCAGAATATGTTTTGTATCAATCATATAGACATAGTTTTATGTGTATCATGTATCATTGCTTTTGGATTTTGGTTACAAAAAAATAGAGCAAAATTAAAGTGTAAATCTACAAAAAATTTTAATGAATGTAGACAATTGTCCTTTGAACCCTCATATCTTTATTAGCATTCACCCATGCATAAAATGATCCGGACCAGACATTTTATTTCATGACTTTCAACTGGAGCAGATAAAAGTAATTACCAAATGGTGCTAGATTATGGACTGGTTTCAAAATTTCATCAAAATAAGTTAAATCAAACGAACACCCATATGAAAGTTAAAATGTTGCTTTAGCACAATACATCTTTTATGCTTTTTCAGAATATTTTCATTAAATTTAATCTTTGAAAAGGTTGCATAATTTGAACTTTGATCTACTTTTTTATTCACCTACTGATAAAGTGAAAGGCCTCTTTATTAGTTTTTATCGAATTCAACCAAATTTGAAGGTCATTTTTAGATTTGTGCAGTTTGGGAGAATTAGGATAAAGTTTAAGTGGTGCTTCACAACAATAAGAGAATTATAATCCTAGTCCCGGAAGCTTTGTCGCTGTTTGGATTTTCAGACAGTTTTTGTAAAAATTATAAAATCATCAGAGGATGATTGCATGTGCATTGTGCAATCTTGATCTGTTGTTTGTGACAAGTTCAGGCTTTTTTCAGTTGGTTGTTTTGTTTGAAAACAATTTCTTTTCAAAATGATGAGTTTTTTTTTTATTTTTGAATTCTGTTCCTACTGAAGAGGTCACATTGAGTGCAAGAACAATGGAACTGAAATTGCACATTTATGAGTTTCAGGACATTAATTATCAATTTCTTCCTCAGAAGCTTGAAAAGACAAGATTGATATATTAAGAACATGTGCAGCTCAGCTTGTTATATATTAAAAAAATTTGATATCAAACAGGATATTAAATACGTATGAGATATTATTGAAAAGTCTTCTTGGCAATTTATCATTTCTCTCGGCACATCTGTCAGAATTATGGCATGTATATTGAGGGCTTTTTTTGACTATAACTTTTAACACAAATGATTTTAATTAATCTTAAAGGGACAGGTAAGTCATTTTTGACCAATCACAGAAACAGGATTGTCTTAGCTGAGATAATCAATGATATGGTTTAAGGCTCACCGTCGAAATTTGAGCCTTCAAATTCATGTGTGTCCAGAATTATATGCGTTTGAACTTTGAAGGTTAAAATGATGGAATCTCCCAAAATTTCAGTCCGAAATTACATCTCGTTAAATTTTTGGTCAAACTTTAACTCTGAATCTGGTATTGTTATTTATTTCAGAATCCAATAATTAAAGCTGTTAGAGAATTAAATCCATCTCAGTTATTATCTGTAATATCTACTACCAATAACAGATTATCAACTCAACAGGTAAGAGTTCACTTGTCTTACACATTAGTCTCAAGTCCTGAATATGTTGGAACCCAGCTGTTCTGATGAAACTCATCTTCACAATGCCAACCAATTACAAACCTGGTAGTTATACCTGACTGCAATAGCCACTGCATTTAGTGGGTTTGATTTAATTTTAAAAACTATACCTAGTGCAAAACAGACACAATAAAAAATATGATCATTCTCTAGGAATCAATTCAACAATGGTATCTGGCTTTTTTTTCACTAAATACAACTTAGAACACAGGAAAAAAGTGAAAAAAATCACCAAAATTGATACACATCATCTTCTCTTTTTACCTGATGACATTCTCCTATTTTCTAAACGCTGAATTTAAATTATGAATACAAAAGTGAGTATGAAGTTATTGTGGACAATATACAATGTGTTCTATTTGTGGATTTATAAAATTTGTTCCGTTAAAACTTCCCTTTGTTATGTTTTTTTTTTGCGATGTATTTCTTAGTACAATAAAACATGACAAAACAATGTAGCATCTTTGAAGGCATCTGAACATTGTCAAGCTGTTTC